GGGCAATTTGGGAAGAATGTGGGGTGGGTTTTTTAGGTTAATGCCTCCCTGCTCTTCCCACTCACAACTCCGAAAGCATCAACACTGCCAGAACTACAGTAAATAAAGAGTATCTGAATGAATAGATTCTCTGTATTTTCTAACTAGATCATGTGAAATAGACAGTTAACCTGAACTAGAAGCCTGGTGTGTGTCTACCATTTACACTGATGGGATAGATTCAATCGGATCACCCCTTTTCAGCAATTTTATTTTAATTGTTGTGGCACTTTTAACCCCTTTTCCTCCCCAGTTGGTAGTTACAGTCTTGTCCAATCCCTGCAACTCCCGTACGGACTCAGTAGAGGCGAAGGTCGAGAGCCATGCGTCCTCCGAAACACGACCCTGCCAAGCCGCACTGCTTCTTGACACACTGCTCGCTTAACCCAGTCGGAGGAAACACCGTCCAACTGGCGACTGAAGTCAGCTTGCAGGCGCCCGGCCCGCCACAAGGAGTCTCTAGAGCGCAATGGGACAAGGACATCCCGGCCGGCCAAACCCTCCCCTAACCCGGATGACGCTGGGCCAATTGTGCGCCGCCTCATGCTCATGGGTCTTCCGATCGCAGCCGGCTGCGACACAGCCTGGGATCGAACCCGGGTCTGTAGTGACGCCTTAGACCACTGCGCCACACGGGAGGCCCGGGTATGCACCATTTAAAGGCAATGTTTCCACATTCATGGAGCTGCATATGTCAACTCAATTGGAAATTACCTTTAAATGTAAATCGCGCTATAACACGGATCTCCTGCAGTCTGGATTGAATCTAAGCCGATGGCTTGATGCCAAAAAGGTTTGTGTTTTGTTCTTTCTCCTTTCATTTATGGGCATTATGATGTCCCAATAAATCAGCTCTATTTTTGTGAGGCATGTGTTGGTACTCTCAGATAGTCCTGGGACTGAACATGCTGCGGAGTGAGGCATGTGTTGGTACTCTCAGATAGTCCTGGGACTGAACATGCTGCGGAGTGAGGCATGTGTTGGTACTCTCAGATAGTCCTGGGACTGAACATGCTGCGGAGTGAGGCATGTGTTGGTACTCTCAGATAGTCCTGGGACTGAACATGCTGCGGAGTGAGGCATGTGTTGGTGCTCTCAGATAGTCATTTGCTCTGGAAGTTCGTGGGTTGCAGAGGCTGCTGTGTCCTCCTGGCTCTTATCCGTACCCTGTGTGCAGCCTTTATCATTTGACGCTGTGTTGTCTTTCGCGCCATTGGGAGTGTTGGAGTAGGTTGCATCTACAGTCTCGTAGGGCTCTGATGTCCACTGGAAAAACATAGAAAATAATGTATTAATACAATCTGAAATCTGATGCATTATACCAGCTAAAAAGCTCATTTTTGTAGAGGTTCTGACTCATGTCTGATAAGTGTCCTCAATCAACTGTTGATATTAAATGCCTACATAGATAACCACAACATTGTTAAGCGGTAATATAGTTTCATGATAAGCGGTAATATAGTTTCATAAATATATTCTGTGGCTGGAGCTCTGACTTCTACCTGTGTGGGTCTGCTGGTGGACCGGCAGGAGGGTCCACCCATGGCGATGTTGACACTACTGGACGACTGTGTGTCCGTGGTGTTGCCACCCTCGGCCGCCGACAGGCCAGAGATGACAAGGCCACTGGAGAAGCTCCTCTTGCCGAACAGCAGGCTGAGGGTGGAGCTGGAGGAGGACACCTGGCTTGAGCGGTGGTGGGCTGCAGCCTGGAGCTGGGAACTCAGCTGGCCCCCGGCCGTGGAGAGCCGTGGCACCTGGGAGAAGACTGAGGCGATGGAGGTGTTGAAGGACAGCTGGCTGTTGGAGAGGTGCTGCACCTGGCCATTGGCCGAAGCTGACACCTGCTGATTATCCAGGATGGGCCCTGACTGGCTGGTGACTGGAGGCCGCTGGCTCTGGGGCTGCACTGAGCGGCTCCGGTACTCTCTCCTCCCTGGATGGATGCACATACAGATAACACGACCCAGTCAGTGTCAGAACCTAACATGGCAGAACCGTGAACATAGCTATCTGAACCTAACATGGCAGAACTATGAACATAGCTGGCAGAACCTAACATGGCAGAACCGTGAACATAGCTGGCAGAACCTAACATGGCAGAACCCTGAACATAGCTGGCAGAACCTAACATGGCAGAACCATTAACATAGCTGTCAGAACCTAACATGGCAGAACCATGAACATCGCTGGCAGAACCATGAACATAGCTGACAGAACCATGAACATAGCTGGCAGAACCTAACATGGCAGAACCATGAACATAGCTGGCAGAACCTAACATGGCAGAACCCTGAACATAGCTGTCAGAACCTAACATGGCAGAACCATGAACATCGCTGGCAGAACCATGAACATAGCTGGCAGAACCTAACATGGCAGAACCCTGAACATAGCTGTCAGAACCTAACATTGCAGAACCATGAAAATAGCTGGCAGAACCTAACATGGCAGAACCATGAACATAGCTGGCAGAACCTAACATGGCAGAACAATGACATTGCTGGCAGAACCATGAACATAGCTGGCAGAACCTAACATGGCAGAACAATGAAAATAGCTGGCAGAACCTAACATGGCAGAACCCTGAACATAGCTGGCAGAACCATGAAAATAGCTGGCAGAACCTAACATGGCAGAACCCTGAACATAGCTGGCAGAACCATGAACATAGCTGGCAGAACCTAACATGGCAGAACAATGAACATAGCTGGCAGAACCTAACATGGCAGAACCATGAACATAGCTGGAAGAACCATGAACATAGCTGGCAGAACCTAACATGGCAGAACCCTGAACATAGCTGGCAGAACCATGAACATAGCTGGCAGAACCTAACATGGCAGAACAATGAACATAGCTGGCAGAACCTAACATGGCAGAACCCTGAACATAGCTGGCAGAACCATGAACATAGCTGGCAGAACCTAACATGGCAGAACAATGAACATAGCTGGCAGAACCTAACATGGCAGAACCATGAACATAGCTGGAAGAACCATGAAAATAGCTGGCAGAACCTAACATGGCAGAACCCTGAACATAGCTGGCAGAATCTAACATGGCAGAACCCTGAACATAGCTGTCAGAACCTTACATGTCAGAAACGTGAAACTTAGCTGTCAGAACCTAATATGGCAGAACCCTGAACATCGCTGGCAGAACCATGAACATAGCGGGCAGAACCTAACATGGCAGAACCATGAACATAGCTGTCAGAACCTAACATGGCAGAACCATGAACATCGCTGTCAGAACCTAACATGGCAGAACCATGAACATAGCTGGCAGAACCATGAAAATAGATGGCAGAACCTAACATGGCAGAACCCTGAACATAGCTGGCAGAACCATGAACATAGCTGGCAGAACCTAACATGGCAGAACAATGAACATAGCTGGCAGAACCTAACATGGCAGAACCATGAACATAGCTGGCAGAACCATGAACATAGCTGGCAGAACCTAACATGGCAGAACCCTGAACATAGCTGGCAGAACCTAATATGGCAGAACCCTGAACATCGCTGGCAGAACCATGAACATAGCTGTCAGAACCTAACATGGCAGAACCATGAACATCGCTGGCAGAACCTAACATGGCATAACCATGAACATAGCTGACAGAAACATGAACATAGCAGGCAGAACCTAACATTGCAGAACCATGAACATAGCTGGCAGAACCTAACATGGCAGAACCCTGAACATAGCTGTCAGAACCTAACATGGGAGAACCATGAACATCGCTGGCAGAACCATGAACATAGCTGGCAGAACCTAACATGGCAGAACCATGAACATAGCTGGCAGAACCTAACATGGCAGAACAATGAACATAGCTTGCAGAACCATGAACATAGCTTGCAGAACCTAACATGGCTGAACAATGAAAATAGCTGGCAGAACCTAACATGGCAGAACCCTGAACATAGCTGGCAGAACCATGAAAATAGCTGGCAGAACCTAACATGGCAGAACCCTGAACATAGCTGGCAGAACCATGAACATAGCTGGCAGAACCTAACATGGCAGAACAATGAACATAGCTGGCAGAACCTAACATGGCAGAACCATGAACATAGCTGACAGAACCATGAACATAGCTGGCAGAACCATGAACATAGCTGGCAGAACCTAACATGGCAGAACCCTGAACATAGCTGGCAGAACAATGAACATAGCTGGCAGAACCTAACATGGCAGAACCCTGAACATAGCTGGCAGAACCTAACATGGCAGAACCATGAACATAGCTGGCAGAACCTAACATGGCAAAACCATGAACATAGCTGGCAGAACCTAACATGGCAAAACCATGAACATAGCTGGCAGAACCTAACATGGCAGAACCCTGAACATAGCTGGCAGAACCATGAACATAGCTGGCAGAACCTAACATGGCAGAACGCTGAACATAGCTGGCAGAACAATGAACATAGCTGGCAGAACCTAACATGGCAGAATAATGAACATAGCTGGCAGAACCTAACATGGCAAAACCATTAACATAGCTGGCAGAACCTAACATGGCAGAACCCTGAACATAGCTGGCAGAACCTAACATGGCAGAACCCTGAACATAGCTGGCAGAACCTAACATGGCAGAACCATGAACAAAGCTGACAGAACCTAACATGGCAGAACCCTGAACATAGCTGGCAGAACCTAACATGGCAGAACCATGAACATAGCTGACAGAACCTAACATGGCAGAACCCTGAACATAGCTGGCAGAACCTAACATGGCAGAACTCTGAACATAGCTGGCAGAACCTAACATGGCAGAACCATGAACATAGCTGACAGAACCTAACATGGCAGAACCCTGAACATAGCTGGCAGAACCTAACATGGCAGAACCCTGAACATAGCTGGCAGAACCTAACATGGCAGAACCATGAACATAGCTGCGCAAGGTTCTACTTAGACGTGTAATGCTTTCATGGTAAGGAAACCAACTAAATGTTGAAACTTGGGTGAACTATCCCTTTAAACGTATCATGTATTGCATCTGTCAGGAGCATGCATGTGTGCCTCCTATAGAGAACCAAACCTGTAGCGTGCTGCCTATTGGCGTGAGAGGTCCTGTTGGGCCTGGCCTGGTACAGACTCAGGCTCTGGGAGGTGATGGAGTTTGGGTTGTGGCTCAGAGAAGAGGAGCCCCCTGCACAGTCCACATCCTCCATGTTCACACCACTGTTACAGCTGGTAAGGTTATCCTTCCGCACCCTGCAACACAACACACACACAGCCTATGTTACCTTTCTATACACCTTAACAGCTTTATTAAAATGGAGTGAAAACATTTAACTATAACTGAAGGGCAATGAATCTGGATTAAAAACTCAATCTGATCTCAAATGAAAACATGTCCCTATAAGTAGTTTACAGTGCAGGCCACGCCTCACACTAAACATAAAAGGCCCATAAGCCTAACAGTAGATGGTACAGTTGAAGTCGGAAGTTTACATACACTTAGGTTGGAGTCATTAAAACTTGTTTTTCAACAACTCCACAAATGTCTTGTTAACAAACTATAGTTTTGGCAAGTCGGTTAGGACATCTACTTTGTGCATTACACAAGTAATTTTTCCAACAATTGTTTACAGACAGATTATTTCACTTATAATTCACTGTACCACAATTCCAGAGGGTCAGAAGTTTACATACATTAAATTGACTGTGCCTTTAAACAGCTTGGAAAATTCCAGAAAATTATGTCATGGCTTTAGAAGCTTCTGATAGGCTAATTGACATCATTTGAGTCAATTGGAGGTGTACCTGTGGATGTATTTCAAGGCCTACCTTCAAACTCAGTGCCTCTTTGCTTGACATCATGGGAAAATCCAAAGAAATCAGCCAAGACCTCAGAAAAACAATTGTAGACCTCCAAAAGTCTGGTTCATCCTTGGGAGCAATTTCCAAACGCCTGAAGGTACCACGTTCATCTGTACAAACAATAGTACGCAAGTATAAACACCATGGGACCACGCAGCCGTCATACCGCTCAGGAAGGAGACGCGTTCTGTCTCCTAGAGATGAACATACTTTGGTGCGAAAAGTGCAAATCAATCCCAGAACAACAGCAAAGGACCTTGTGAAGATGGACAGGTACAAAAGTATCTATATCCACAGTAAAACGAGTCCTATATCGACATAACCTGAAAGGCCGCTCAGAAAGGAAGAAGCCACTGCTCCAAAACCGCCATAAAAAAGACAGACTACGGTTTGCAACTGCACATGGGGACAAAGATCGTACTTTTTGGAGAAATGTCCTCTGGTCTGATGAAACAAAAATAGAACTGTTTGGGCATAATGACCATCGTTATGTTTGGAGGAAAAAGGGGGTCGCTTGCAAGCCGAAGAACACCATCCTAACCGTGAAGCACGGGGGTGGCAGCATCATGCTTTGGGGGTGCTTTGCTGCAGGAGGGACTAGTGCACTTCACAAAATAGATGGCATCATGAGGAAGGAAAATTATGTGGATATATTGAAGCAACATCTCAAGACATCAGTCAGGAAGTTAAAGCTTGGTCGCAAATGGGTCTTCCAAATGGACAATGACCCCAAGCATACTTCCACAGTTATGGCAAAATGACTTAAGGACAACAAAGTCAAGGTATTGGAGTGGCCATCACAAAGCTCTGACCTCAATCCTATAGAAAATGTGTGGGCAGAGGAGGCCTCCAAACCTGACTCAGTTACACCAGCTCTGTCAGGAGGAATGGGCCAAAATTCACCCAACTTATTGTGGGTAGCTTGTAGAAGGCTACCCGAAACGTTTGACCCAAGTTAAACAATTTAAAGGCAATGCTACCAAATACTAATTGAGTGTATGTAAACTTCTGACCCACTAGGAATGTGATGAAATAAATAAAAGCTGAAATAAATCATTCTCTCTACTATTATTCTGATATTTCACATTCTTAAAATAACTAACTGACCTAAGACAGGGAATTTTTATTAGGATTAAATGTCATGAATTGTGAAAAACTGAGTTGAAATGTGTTTGGCTAAGGTGTACGTAAACTTCCGACTTCAACTGTAGTTATTCAAATTGCGCTGGATGCAGCTGAACACGTCGCAGCACTTTGGCCCTGTAGGGTTTGGGAAGAGTGGTGCTGTCACAGAAGAAAAAGCCCTGATTGGATTCCATCCATAGGGGAGCAGAGCACTAGCAGACTGGCTGATAATGGAGCCCCCTCTGTTTCCCCTTGGCCTGCCTCCAGCAGCCAGAACTTACCGCAGCCTCTTGGACAAGAGCCAGGTCTTGATGCTGTCCAGGCTGAGAGGGCCGCCCCAGATGCTCCTCAGCTGCTTGTGGGTGCCCATGTAGGAGGTGGTGAGGGGGGACACGTACATGGGGTAGCCCAGCGGCTGGTCGCACGACGAGTTGATCATGTTTCGGAGGGTCTGCTTGGAGTTCTGGATGCTGCCGCGCTCCGGGTTGCGGTTGCGTAAGAACACCAGCTCCTGCTGCTGGCCGGCCCACAGGCCCCTTACACACTCCTTATTGATCTAGAAGAGAGGAGAGGATGAAGAGGGTAGTATTACTGACATCTGAATACACATGACACGCAGTCCAAATCCACATTTCTTTACTCTGATTAAATCACCATTTTAATCAACTGGATATGGCAGAACCATTTGGATCAAGTTTCTTTATGTATTAATCAAACCAAAAACTCATACACCCCACACTTCTAAAGCTAAACTCTATCAATATGTAGAGTTGATCAGAATCACGTAATCTCATGTTCCAGACAGCTTGAACAGACAACAATGCTGAATCATTCCAGTTTGACCTATAGTACCATAGCCCCTTCTGTAGATCTGAGATGACTGGATAGATGTAAGAAATATGGTAATAACTTCATCTTAGAAAAAACGCCATATTTATCCAATCCTCTCAGATCTACAAAGGTGGCCACGGAGTAGGGGCTTGGAATTCAGCATGTGTTCAGCTCAACTGTACAGGTCTAGGATCAGGTTCCCCTTCCCCAATCCTAACCTTAACCATTTGTGGGGGAAATGCAACACTGACCCAAGATCAGCGTCTAGGGGCAACATCACCCTACACCATTCATCCAACACCCACCTTGATGACCTTGAAGCTGAGGTGGCGTTTGTAGAGCATGATGATCTTGTACTCGTCCGTGCCGTCGTCCACCATGTGTCTCAGTGTGAGCAAAGTGTCCCGGCTGGACAGAACCGCCTTCCTCCAGGCTGGGTCACTCTCATGGCAGATCACCAGACTGGCCTTGTAGTTACTAATGGCCTCATACAACATGGCTGGCTCCTCTGTCTCCTCCAGACATGTAAAGTGGTCCTGAGAGCAACCAAGGAACAAAGCAGTAAGTATATCGGTGTGAGTAAAAGTTTTATTACAGGGATTAACTGAACCACTTTAAGGACGGGATTCAATTAACGGAGCATTGTCAACAACTTTTTGACCTTTAATATGTCATTTACACTTGAGCCTATATCCGCAGCGTTTACAGCACAGGCAGCTGGTGGCACCTTAATTGGGGAGGACGGGAATGGAATAATGGCTGGAATGGAATAAATGGAACGGTAACACAGTTTCCATGTGCTTGATACCATTCCATTATTCCATTACAGCCATTATTATGATCAGTCCTCCCCTCACCACTGTGGTTTACAGTGAATTGCACCTTTTAAAGACAATTTTTCAGACATTTGCGGGAATCGTATTCATAATAAAAGCAGCTCAAGGGTAAATTACCTTTAAAAGTCAAGTGCAGTGTACTTATCGACAATGTGCCTTTGATTGCCTCCATTGCTTATATTTGCAGCTCCACTGTACATCAAGATACACGTGCAGTCCACTGAGAAAGCACAGGAAGAGCTCAAGGTTAAATGTACAGTTACCACCATATTCTACTTCAACAAGGGAGAAAGAGAATGGTATTGTCTTCAAAGTAGGCTATTGTGAATACCTGATGGAGCTTGAGACTCATCCTCACGCCTGGGACCACCACTTTCTGCAGCAGATCCATGTCTGTGAACACCCACTCATCTTTAGTGGCGATACGGAAGTCTCCTTTGAACAGAGTGTTGAACCCATACAAGAACGACTCCAAACTGAGTTAGAGAAAAAGAGAGAGGGGGAATTGTCAAGGTGTTTATCACATTACAGCAACAGAGGGGTAGAATTTAGAGACTCACGTCACGTATCCCTGTGATACTACAGAGAGCTATAGCTGCCCCCTTATGGAATATCAATAAACTACAGCTCATTGTGGCTTGATGTGTTAAATCATCCCTGGAGGGAAATAAAACCCCATATATAACACAACATCCCTGGAGGGTAATAAAACCCCATATATAACACTACACAACATCCCTACAGGGTAATAAAACCCCATATATAACACAACACAACATCCCTACAGGGTAATAAAACCCCATATATAACACAACACAACATCCCTGGAGGGTAATAACACCCCATATATAACACAACACAACATCCCTGGAGGGTAATAAAACCCCATATATAACACTACACAACATCCCTACAGGGTAATAAAACCCCATATATAACACAACACAACATCCCTGGAGGGTAATAACACCCCATATATATCACAACACAACATCCCTGGAGGGTAATAACACCCCATATATATCACAACACAACATACCTGGAGGGTAATAACACCCCATATATATCACAACACAACATGCCTGGAGGGTAATAAAACCCCATATATAACACAACATCCCTGGAGGGTAATAAAACCCCATATATAACACAACACAACATGCCTGGAGGGTAATAAAACCCCATATATATCACAACACAACATCCCTGGAGGGTAATAAAACCCCATATATAACACAACAACATCTCTGGAGGGTAATAAAACCCCATATATAACACAACATCCCTGGAGGGTAATAAAACCCAATTTATAACACAACACAACATCCCTGGAGGGTAATAAAACCCCATATATAACAAAACATCCCTGGAGGGTAATAAAACCCTATATATAACACAACACAACATCCCTACAGGGTAATAAAACCCCATATATAACACAACACAACATCCCTGGAGGGTAATAACACCCCATATATAACACAACACAACATCCCTAGAGGGTAATAAAACCCAATATATAACACAACACAACATCACTGGAGGGAAATAAAACCCCATATATATCACAAGACAACATGCCTGGAGGGTAATAACACCCCATATATATCACAACACAACATCCCTGGAGGATAATAAAACCCCATATATAACACAACACAACATGCCTGGAGGGTAATAACACCCCATATATATCACAACACAACATCCCTGGAGGGTAATAAAACCCCATATATATAACACAACACAACATCCCTGGAGGGTAATAACACCGCATATATAACACAACATCCCTGGAGGGTAATACAACCCCATATATAACACAACATAACATCCCTGGAGGGTAATAAAACCCCATATAAAACACAACACAACATCCCTGGAGGGTAATAAAACCCCATATATAACACAACACAACATGCCTGGAGGGTAATGAAAACCCATATATAACACAACATCCCTGGAGGGTAATAACACCCCATATATAACACAACACAACATCTCTGGAGGGTAATAAAACCCCATATATAACACAACATCCCTGGAGGGTAATAAAACCCCATTTATAACACAACACAACATCCCTGGAGGGTAATAAAACCCCATATATAACAAAACATCCCTGGAGGGTAATAAAACCCTATATATAACACAACACAACATCCCTACAGGGTAATAAAACCCCATATATAACACAACACAACATCCCTAGAGGGTAATAAAACCCCATATATAACACAACACAACATCCCTGGAGGGAAATAAAACCCCATATATATCACAAGACAACATGCCTGGAGGGTAATAACACCCCATATATATCACAACACAACATCCCTGGAGGATAATAAAACCCCATATATAACACAACACAACATGCCTGGAGGGTAATAACACCCCATATATATCACAACACAACATCCCTGGAGGGTAATAAAACCCCATATATATAACACAACACAACATCCCTGGAGGGTAATAACACCGCATATATAACACAACATCCCTGGAGGGTAATACAACCCCATATATAACACAACATAACATCCCTGGAGGGTAATAAAACCCCATATAAAACACAACACAACATCCCTGGAGGGTAATAAAACCCCATATATAACACAACACAACATGCCTGGAGGGTAATGAAAAACCATATATAACACAACATCCCTGGAGGGTAATAACACCCCATATATAACACAACACAACATGCCTGGAGGGTAATGAAAACCCATATATAACACAACATGCCTGGAGGGTAATAACACCCCATATATAACACAACACAACATGCCTGGAGGGTAATAACACCCCATATATAACACAACACAACATCCCTGTAGGGTAATAACACCCCATAGATATCACAAAACAACATCCCTGGAGGGTAATAACACCCCATATATAACACAACACAACATCCCTTGAGGGTAATAAAACCCCATATATAACACAACATCCCTGGAGGGTAATAACACCCCATATATATCACAACACAACATGCCTGGAGGGTAATAACACCCCATATATAACACAACACAACATCCCTGAGGGTAATAACACCCCTTATATATCACAACACAACATCCCTGGAGGGTAATAACACCCCATATATAACACAACACAACATCCCTGGAGGGTAATAAAACCCCATATATAACACAACATCCCTGGAGGGTAATAAAACCCCATATATAACACGGCACAACATCCCTGGAGGGTAATAACACCCCATATATAACAAAACACAACATGCCTGGAGGGTAATAACACCCCATATATAACACAACACAACATGCATGGAGGGTAATAACACCCCATATATAACACAACACAACATCCCTGGAGGGTAATAAAACCTCATATATAACACAACACAACATCCCTGGAGGGTAATAACACCCCATATATAACACAACATCCCTGGAGTGTAATGAAAACCCATATATAACACAACCTGCATGGAGGGTAATATAACCCCATATATAACACAACACAACATCACTGGAGGGTAATAACACCCCATATATAACACAACACAACATGCCTGGAGGGAAATAAAACCCCATATATAACACAACACAACATCCCTGGAGGGTAATAACACCCCATATATAACACAACATCACTGGAGTGTAATGAAAACCCATATATAACACAACCTGCATGGAGGGTAATATAACCCCATATATAACACAACACAACATCACTGGAGGGTAATAACACCCCATATATAACACAACACAACATCCCTGGAGGGTAATACAACCCCATATATAACACAACACAACATCCCTGGAGGGTAATAACACCCCATATATAACACAACACAACATCCCTGGAGGGTAATGAAAACCCATATATAACACAACACAACATGCCTGGAAGGTAATATAACCCCATATATATCACAACACAACATCCCTGGAGGGTAATAGCAACCCATAGATATCACAAAACAACATCCCTGGAGGGTAATAACACCCCATATATAACACAACACAACATCCCTGGAGGGTAATAAAACCCCATATATATCACAACACAACATCCCTGGAAGGTAATAACACCCCATATATAACACAAAACAACATCCCTGGAGGGTAATGAAAACCCATATATAACACAACACAACATCCCTGGAAGGTAATAAAACCCCATATATAACACAACAGAACATCACTGCAGGGTAATAAAACCCCATATATAACACAACATGCCTGGAGTGTAATGAAAACCCATATATAACACAACATGCCTGGAGTGTAATGAAAACCCATAGATAACACAACACAACATCCCTGCATGGTAATAAAACCCCATATATAACACAACATCCCTGGAGGGTAATAAAACCCCATATATAACACAACACAACATCCCTGCAGGGTAATAAAACCCCATATATAACACAACACAACATCCCTGGAGGGTAATAAAACCTCATATATAACACAACACAACATCCCTGGAGGGTAATAACACCCCAAATATAACACAACATCCCTGGAGGGTAATAACACCCCATATATAACACAACATCCCTGGAGGGTAATAAAACCCCATATATAACACAACACAACATCCCTGGAAGGTAATAACACCCCATATATAACACAACACAACATCCCTGGAGGGTAATGAAAACCCATATATAACATAACACAACACAACATCCCTGGAAGGTAATAACACCCCATATATAACACAACACAACATCCCTGGAGGGTAATAACACCCCATATATAACACAACATCCCTGGAGGGTAATAACACCCCATATATATCATAACACAACATGCCTGGAGGGTAATAACACCCCATATATAACACCACACAACATCCCTGGAGGGTAATAACACCCCTTATATATCACAACACAACATCCCTGGAGGGTAATAACACCCCATATATAACACAACACAACATCCCTGGAGGGTAATAAAACCCCATATATAACACAACATCCCTGGAGGGTAATAACACCCCATATATATCATAACACAACATGCCTGGAGGGTAATAACACCCCATATATATCATAACACAACATGCCTGGAGGGTAATAACACCCCATATATAACACCACACAACATCCCTGGAGGGTAATAACACCCCTTATATATCACAACACAACATCCCTGGAGGGTAATAAAACCCCATATATAACACAACATCCCTGGAGGGTAATAAAACCCCATATATAACACAGCACAACATCCCTGGAGGGTAATAACACCCCATATATAACACAACATCCCTGGAGTGTAATGAAAACCCATATATAACACAACATGCCTGGAGGGTAATAAAACCCTATATAACACAACATCACTGGAGGGTAATAACACCCCATATATAACACAACACAACATCCCTGGAGGGTAATGAAAACCCATATATAACACAACACAACATGCCTGGAGGGTAATAAAACCCCATATATATCACAACACAACATCCCTGGAAGGTAATAACACCCCATATATAACACAAAACAACATCCCTGGAGGGTAATGAAAACCCATATATAACACAACACAACATCCCTGGAAGGTAATAAAACCCCATATATAACACAACACAACATCACTGCAGGGTAATAAAACCCCATATATAACACAACATGCCTGGAGTGTAATGAAAACCCATATAACACAACATGCCTGGAGTGTAATGAAAACCCATAGATAACACAACACAACATCCCTTTATGGTAATAAAACCCCATATATAACACAACATCTCTGGAGGGTAATAAAACCCCATATATAACACAACACAACATCCCTGCAGGGTAATAAAACCCCATATATAACACAACACAACATCCCTGCAGGGTAATAAAACCCCATATATAACACAACATCCCTGGAGGGTAATAAAACCCCATATATAACACAACACAACATCTCTGGAGGGTAATAAACCCCATATATAACACAACAACATCCCTGGAGGGTAATAAAACCCCATATATAACACAACACAACATCCCTGGAGGGTAATAACACCCCAAATATAACACAACATCCCTGGAGGGTAATAACACTCCATATATAACACAACATCCCTGGAGGGTAATAAAACCCCATATATAACACAACACAACATCCCTGGAGGGTAATAACACCCCATATATAACACAACACAACATCCCTGGAGGGTAATAACACCCCATATATATCACAACACAACATCCCTGCAGGGTAATAACACCCCAAATATAACACAACATCCCTGGAGGGTAATAACACCCCATATATAACACAACACAACATCCCTGGAGGGTAATAAAACCTCATATATAACACAACACAACATCCCTGGAGGGTAATAACACCCCATATATAACATCCCTGGAGTGTAATGAAAACCCATATATAACACAACATGCCTGGAGGGTAATAAAACCCTATATAACACAACACAACATCACTGGAGGGTAATAACACCCCATATATAACACAACACAACATCCCTGGAGGGTAATGAAAACCCATATATAACACAACACAACATGCCTGGAGGGTATAAAAACCCCATATATATGCACAACCACAACATCCCTGAAGGTAATAAAACCCATATATAACACAAACACATCCCTGGAGGGTAATGAAAACCCATATATACCAACACAACATCCCTGGAAGTAATAAAACCCCAATATAACACACACAACATCACTGCAGGGTAATAAAACCCCATATATAACACAACATGCCTGGAGTGTAATGAAAACCCATATATAACACAACACAACATCCCTGGAAGGTAATAAAACCCCATAGATAACACAACACAACATCCCTTTATGGTAATAAAACCCCATATATAACACAACATCCCTGCAGGGTAATAAAACCCCATATATAACACAACCACAACATCCCTGCAGGGTAATAAAACCCCATATATAACACAACATCCCTGGAGGGTATAAACCCCATATATAACACAACACAACATCCCTGGAGGGTAATAACACCCCTATATAACACAACACAAACATCCCTGGAGGGTAATAACACCCCAAATATAACACAACCTCCCTGGAGGGTAATAACACCCCAAATATAACACAACACACATCCCTGGAGGGTAATACACTCCATATTAACCCAACCAACCTGGAGGGTAAATACACCCCATATAAACACAAACACAACATCCCCTGGAGGGTATAAACCCCATATATATCACAAACACAACATCCCTGCAGGGGTAATAACACCCCCAAATATAACACAACAATCCCTGGAGGGTAATAACACCCCCATATATAACACACACAACATCCCTGGAGGGTAATAAAACCTTCATATAACACAACACACAATCCCTGAGGGTAATAACACCCCATATTAACATCCCTGGAGTGTAATGAAAACCGCATATATAACACAACAATGCCTGGAAGGGTAATAAACCCTATATAACACCAACACAACATCACTGGAGGGTAATAACACCCCATATAAACACAACACCAACATCACTGGAGGTTAATGAAAACCCATATATAACACAACACAACATGCCTGGAGGGTAAGAAAACCCCTAATATCTACACAACACAACATCCCTGGAAGGTAATAACACCCCATATATATAACACAAAACAACATCCCTGGAGGGTAATGAAAACCCATATATAACACAACATCCCTGGAAGGTAATAAAACCCCATATATAACACAACACAACATCACTGCAGGGTAATAAAACCCCATATAACACAACATGCCTGGAGTGTAATGAAAACCCATATATAACACAACACAAACATCCCTGAAGGTAATAAACCCCATAGATAACCACAACACAACATCCCTTTATGGTAATAAAACCCCATATATAACACAACAATCCCTGCAGGGTAATAAACCCCATATATAACCACAACACAACATCCCTGCAGGTGTAATAAAACCCCATATATAACACAACATCACCCTGGAGGGTAATAAAACCCCCATATATAACACAACACAACATCCCTGGAGGGTAATAACACCCCATAATAATAACAACACAACATCCCTGGAGGGTAATAAAACTCATATATAACACAACACAACATCCCTGGAGGGTAATAAAACCCCAAATATAACACAACATCCCTGGAGGGTAATAACACTCCATATATAACACAACATCCCTGGAGGGTAATAAAACCCCATATATAACACAACATCCCTGGAGGGTAATAACACCCCTAATTAACACAACATCCCTGAGGGTAATAACACCCCATATATAACACAACATCCCTGGAGGGTAATAAACACCCCATATATAAACAACATCCCTGGAGGGTAATAACACCCCATATATATCACAACACAACATCCCTGCAGGGTAATAACACCCCAAATATAACAAAAAACATCCCTGAGGGTAATAACACCCCATATATAACACAACATCCCTGGAGGGTAATAACACCCCATATATAACACAACATCCCTGGAGGGTATAACACCCCTATATATCACAACACAACATCCCTGCAGGGTAATAACACCCCAAATATAACACAACATCCCTGGAGGGGAATAACACCCATATATAACACAACACAACATCACTGGAGGGTAATAACACCCCATATATAACGTGAAAGGAATTCATATTGACAGCTATGGAAGGTTCACCTGTTGGACATGTTGTGAGATGCTGTCCCCAAGGATCTCCTGCCCAGCACAGACAAGGCATAGCACAGAGTGACCAGAGGGGAGTCCTCGTCACAGTCCACCAGGCTGGCAAAACACAAGGGTCAAAGACATCAGTGTTCACATCCTCTGAAATGCCAGAAGCAAGGAAACCAAAAAATGACTTGGTCATGGAGTTTTCCTGCCAAGGAAAAATGAACTAGACAGGGCCTGGAATTTTCTGACTACATGCATGACTGTACTGTGCATTGCAGTCTCACATCTCCACTCACCTCCTCCATTTGTTGGCACAGTACAGGATCCATTCCAGATAGATGTTACAGAAGCTGGCCCTGGTGACGCCCTGGAGGCAGTGGACGTAGTCCTCGTCTTATATTAACGCTGAACACGGCCGGGTCTCTTCTATGTGGTGCCCACTTGGTAGGACACCAGGCTCCAGATAGAGGGACCTGACCACTTGAGCTTCAGGGCGGACGTAGTGATTCTCTATGGATCTGACAGGATGATGTTTTTTGGGCCATCCTTTGCTAGCATCGAAGCTCAGATTATGCTATGTAAACCTTCAGTGGAAAATGGATCAGGTATAGTTTTGGATTAAATGCTCTCAAGGTTAAACATGAGGGACAGAGGTTGGAGTGAGAAAAAAATCCTGGGGGAAAAAACCCCATAAAAAAACACAACAGGGGGGTAATAAACCCCCAAAATTTAAAAAAACATGTGGAAAAAAAACCCCCATATAAAAACCCCCACAACATCCCCAGGGGAATAAACCCCTTTTATACAAAAAACATCCGGGGGTAAAAAAAATATAAAACCCAAAAAAACCCCGGGGGTAAAAAAACCCCAAATAACCCCCAAAAACTCCCTGGAGGGAAAAAACCCCTATAAACCCAAAAACCCGGGGTAAAAAACCCAAAAAAACAAAAACCCGGGGGGTAAAAAAACCCAATCATCAAAAAAACCCCCTTTTAAAAAACACCCCCCAAAAAGGGGGGTAAAACCCAAAAACACAAACCCCTGGGGGTAAAAAAAACCCCCCCAAAAAACAAAACCCTGGGGAAAAAAAAAAAACCCCAAAAAAAACCGGGGGGGGAATAAACCCCCATAAAAACACAAACCCGGAATAATAAAAAACCCCCCAATTTCCCAAAAAAAATCCCAAAAAAAAAAAAAAAACAAATGTGGGTTAAAAAACCAAACAAACCCCCAAAGAAAACCCAAAACCCCAAAAACCAAATCCCCTTTTTTAAAAAACCCAATCCCCCCCCAAAAAAACCCCAAAAAACAAACACCCAACACCGGGGAAAAACCCCCCCAAAAAAAAAAACAAACCCCATCCCAAAAAACCCCCAAAAATCCTGGGGGTAAAAACCCCAAAAAAAAAACCCAAAATCCAAAAACCCCCATTTAAAAACCCCCCAAAATTTAAAAAAAAAAAACCCTATATAAAAACCCCAAAACAAAAAAAACCCCCATAAAAAACACCCAAAAAAAAAACCCAAAAAACTTTAAAAAACCCTTTAAAAAAAAACCCCAAAAAAAAAAACCCCAAATTAAAAAACACCCCTTTAAAAAAAAACAACATCCCTGGGGTAATAAAAACCCCCCTATATAAAACACAAATCCCCGGGTAAAAACCCCAAAATATACACAAATACCCGGAGGGAAAAAACCCCCAAATTTAAAACAACACAAACATCCTGGAGGGTAATAAACCTCATAATAACACAACACACATCCCTGGAGGTAATAACACCCCATATATAACATCCCTGGAGGGTGTAATGAAAACCCATAAACAAAAACATGCCTGGAGGGTAATAAAACCCTAAAATAACCAACACCAAAATCACTGGAGGGTAAAAAACAAACCCCATATATAACACAAACACAACACCCTGGAGGGTAATGAAAACCCATATATAACACAACACAAATGCCGGAGGGTAATACAACCCCAAAATATCACAACACAAACTCCTGGAAGGTAATAACCACCCCATAATACACAAACAACATCCCTGGAGGGTAATGAAAAACCCATTATATAACAAACAAAACATCCCTGGAAGGTAATAAACCCAATATAACAACAACAACATCACTGAGGTAATAAACCCCTAATATAACCAAATGCCCGGAGTGTAATGAAAACCCATATATAACACAACCACAAATCCCTGGAAGGTAATAAAACCCCATAGATAACACAAAAAACAATCCCCTTTTTGGTAATAAAACCCATATAAACAAAACATCCGGGAGGGTAATAAAACCCCTATATAACACAACACAAAATCCCTGCAGGGTAATAAAACCCCATAATAAACAAAAATCCGGAGGGTAATAAAACCCATATATAACCAACAAAAAACAAACCCTGGAGGGTAAAAACACCCCATATATAACACAACACAACCCCTGAGGGTAATAAACCCCAAATATAAAACAACATCCCGAGGGTAATAACACTCCATATTAAAAACAAACACAACATCCCGGAGGGTAATAACCCCAATATATAAACCAACAAAACATCCCTGGAGGTTTAAAAACACCCAAATATATCACAAACAACATCCCTGCAGGGGAATAACCCCCCCAAATATAACCACAACATCCCTGGAGGGTAATAAACCCCATTATTTAAAACAACCAACAAACCTGGAGGGTAATAAACCCCATAACACAACACAACATCCTGGAGGGGAAAACCCCAATAAAACACCCTGGAGTGTAATAAAACCCATATAAACACATAAAGCCGAGGGTAATAAAAACCCTATATAAACACAAAACAACATCACTGGGGGTAAAAAACACCCCATATAAACAAAACACAACATCCCTGGAGGGTAATGGAAACCCATATATAACACAAACACAACATGCCGGAGGGGAATAAAACCCCCTATATCCCCAACACAAAATCCCTGAAGTAAAACACCCCCAAAAATAAACACAAAAAACATCCCTGGAGGGTAATAAAACCCATATATAACACAAATCCCTGGAGGAATAAAACCCCATATAAACCACCAACATCCTGCAGGGTAATAAAACCCATATATAACACAACAGCCTGGAGGGAATGAAAACCATATATAACACAAACAACATCCTGAAGGTAATAAAACCCCCTAGATAAACAAAAACATCCCTTTTGGTAATAAACCCCATATAAAACACAATCCTGAGGGTAATAAAACCCCATTAAACACAGACACAAACATCCCCGAGGGTAATAAAACCCCATATATAAACAACATCCCGGGGTAATAAAACCCCAAATATATAACAACACAACTCCTGGAGGTAAAACACCCATATATAATAAAACACAATCCCTGGGGGGTATAAAACCCCATAATACAAAACAAAAACATCCCTGGAGGGAATAAAACCCATATTATAAACACAACACAACCATCACCTGGGGGGTAATAAAACCTCATATTATAACCCCAAACACAACATCCCTGGAGGGTAATAACACCCCAACCTATAACAACACATTCCCTGGAGGGTAATAACAACCTCATATATAACCCACACCATCCCTGGCGGGTAATAACACCCCATATATAACACAACATCCATGGAGCGGTAATAACCACCCCATATATAAACACAAACATCCCTGGAGGGTAATAAACACCCCATATATACACAACATCCCTGGAGGGTAATAAACCCCCATATATAACACAACATCCCTGGGGGTAATAAACAACCCCATATATATACACAACACAACATCCCTGCAGGGTAATAACACCCCCACATTATAACACACCATCCCTGGAGGGTAATAACACCCCATATATAACACAACATCCCTGGAGGGTAATAACACCCCATATATAACACAACATCCCTGGAGGGTAATAACACCCCATATATATCACAACACAACATCCCTGCAGGGTAATAACACCCCAAATATAACACAACATCCCTGGAGGGTAATAACACCCCATATATAACACAACACAACATCACTGGAGGGTAATAACACCCCATATATAACGTGAAAGGAATTCATATTTGACAGCTATGGAAGGTTCACCTGTTGGACATGTTGTGAGATGCTGTCCCCAAGGATCTCCTGCCCAGCACAGACAAGGCATAGCACAGAGTGACCAGAGGGGAGTCCTCGTCACAGTCCACAGGCTGGCAAAACACAAGGGTCAAAGTACATCAGTGTTCACATCCTCTGAAATGACCAGAAGCAAGGAAACCAAAAAATGACTTGGTCATGGAGTTTTCCTGACAAGGAAAAATGAACTAGACAAGGGCCTGGAATTTTCCTGACTACATGCATGACTGTACTGTGCATTGCAGTCTCACATCTCCACTCACCTCCTCCATTTTGTTGGCACAGTACAGGATCCATTCCAGATAGATGTTACAGAAGCTGGCCCTGGTGACGCCCTGGAGGCAGTGGACGTAGTCCTCGTCTATCTTAACGCTGAACACGGCCGGGTCTCTCTCTATGTGGTGCCACTTGGTGTAGGACACCAGAGCCTCCATGATAGAGGGATCCTTGATCCACGTTTGTAGCTTCAGGGACTGGATCAGGTAGTAGATTATGCTCTAGAGGTGAAACATGAGGGAACAATGACAGAGGATTGATGATGAAATATATCTTTTTATGGCCTACTCCTTTTTGCTAGCATAAGACGAAGCTCAGACTTAACTGCTTATGAAATAAAACCAGTAATGAATTACAAAGATGTTGAAAGTAAAAAAATAAGTGAATATTATACTGCTTAGATCATAGGTTAAATTCAAATTCAAGTCTTTATTGTCTGTTACATTTCCATAAGAAGTCAAAAGGTCTACAACCTTCAGATAGTAGGTGATGAGCAGTTTGCGCAGGTCGTACACCTGCAGCATTGTGGCAGCGTTGTTCTCGCTGATGCTGTAGCCCTCCAGCAGGTACTTGGTGGTGGTGACCTCCCAGGCCAGCCATCGCAGGTTGAAGGCTGCGTTGCAGGACAGGAAGTGTGGCAGGTGGCCCGGCTCACAGCAGCAACAGGAATCGTCCTCCTCCACCCCCTCAGTGATGGCCTCTACCTCCCTCTGCTGGAAGTATGTACCTAGGGAGGAGGAGAAGGGAAAAGGGGATACATAGTCAGTTGCACAACTGAATACATTCAACCGAAATGTGTCTTCCGCATTTAACCCAGCTCCTCTGGAATCAGAGAGAGAAGGAGCACAGACCATCATGTTCATGGTGATTGTATGTCTGTGGTCCAGATGTGGAGCTTATGATTATTAGAAACAACTTTTAAAAAAACTTGAATATAAACACAGCAAAAAAAGAAACGTCCCTTTTTCAGGACCCTGTCTTTCAAAGATAATTCGTAAAAATCAAAATAACTTCACAGATCCTCATTGTAAAGGGTTTAAACACTGTTTCCCATGCTTATTCAATTAACCATAAATAATTAATGAACATGCACCTGTGGAACGGTCGTTAAGACACTAACAGCTTACAGACGGTAGGCAATTAAGGTCACAGTTATGAAAATGTAGGACACTAAGGTGGCCTTTCTACTGACACCAAAAGAAAGATGCCCACGGTCCCTGCTCATCTGCGTGAACGTGCCTTAGGCATGCTGCAAGGAGGCATGAGGACTGCAGATGTGGCCAGGGCAATAAATTGCAATGTCCGTACTGTGAGACGCCTAAGACAGCACTACAGGGAGACAGGACGGACAGGCCTGTACTCTGGTGCAGGATCGATTTGGAGGTGGAGTGTCCGTCATGGTCTGGGGCGGTGTGTCACAGCATCATCGGACTGAGCTTGTTGTCATTGCAGGCAATCTCAACGCTGTGCGTTACAGGGAAGACATCCTCCTCCCTCATGTGGTACCCTTCCTGCAGGCTCATCCTGACATGACCCTCCAGCATGACAATGCCACCAGCCATACTGCTCGTTCTGTGCGTGATTTCCTGCAAGACAGGAATGTCAGTGTTCTGCCATGGCCAGCGAAGAGCCCGGATCTCAATCCCATTGAGCACGTCTGGGACCTGTTGGATCGGAGGGTGAGGGCTAGGGCCATTCCCCCCAGAAATGTCTGGGAACATGCAGGTGCCTTGGTGGAAGAGTGGGGTAACATCTCACAGTAAGAACTGGCAAAGCTGGTGCAGTCCATGAGGAGGAGATGCACTGCAGTACTTAATGCAGCTGGTGGCCACACCAGGACTGTTTTGATTTTGACCCCCCCTTTGTTCAGGGACACATTATTCAATTTATGTTAGTCACATGTCTGTGGAACTTGTTCAGTTTATGTCTCAGTTGCTGAATCTTGTTATGTTCATACAAATATTTACACGTTAAGTTTGCTGACAATAAACGCAGTTGACAGTGAGCGGACGTTTCTTTTTTTGCTGAGTTTATATACAGTACCAGGCAAAAGTTTTACACACATAGTCATTTAAAAGAAAACATATTTTCTACATTGTAGAATAATAGTGAAGACATCAAAACTATGAAATAACACATATGGAATCATGTAGTAACCAAAAAAGTGTTAAACAAATCAAGATATATTTTATATTTGAGATTCTTCAAAGTAGCCACCCTTTGCCTTGATGACAGCTTTGCACACTCTTGGCATTCTCTCAACCAGCTTCATGAGGTAGTCACCAGGAATGCATTTCAATTAACAGGTGTGCCTTGTTTAAAGTTAATTTGTGGAATTTAATGTGTTTGAGCCAATCAGTTAGGGGTAGTATACAGAAGATAGCCCTATTTGGTAAAAGACCAAGTCCATATTATGGAAAGGACAGCTCAAATAACATTTACATTTTACATTTTAGTCATTTAGCAGACGCTCTTATCCAGAGCGACTTACAGTTAGTGATTACATTTTTTTTTTTTATACTGGCCCCCCGTGGGAATCGAACCCACAACCCTGGCGTTGCAAACATGCTCTATCAACTGAGCTACATCACAAATAAGCAAAGAGCAATGACAATCTATCATTACTTTAAGAAATTAAGGTCAGTCAATTGGGAAAATGTCAAGAACTTTGAAAGTTTCTTAATGTGCAGTCGCAAAAACCATCAAGCGCTATGATGAAACTGGCTCTCATGACCGCCACAGGAATGGAAGACCCAGAGTTACCTCTGCTGCAGAGGATAAGTTCATTAGAGTTACCAGCCTCAGAAATTGCAGCCCAAATAAATGCTTCACAGACTTCAAGTAACAGACACATCTCAACATCAACTGTTCAGAGGAGACTGCGTGAGTTATTACATTACTACATTATTCCATATGTGTCATTTCATAGTTTTGATGTCTTCACTATTGTCTACAACGTAGAAAATAGTAAAAGTAAGAAAAATGCCTTGAATGAGTAGGTGTGTCCAAACTTTTGACTGGTACTGTATATGGCTCTGGGTGTGATATAGTGCTCCTCATTGTGTTGCTCTATATTAGTCAGTATCTGACCTCTGAACTCCAAGCCTCTGAGCTGGAAGGTGACCAGGCCATTGCCGATCTCGATGAGGTGAACGAAGGCGTTGAGGTAGTCGGAGGCCAGGATAAAGCAGTCTCCAGAGCTGTAGTTCCCCCAGCGGCCCAGCATCAGGTCACCACACAGAGAGTGCTGCAGAGAGCGTGTCAGATACTCATAGAAGATGGAGTTCAGGTTGTTGTCGTCACATCCTGGGGGAATAAAAGTTTATGTAAAATACACTGATTGACATGACCAACAAAACAACATGTATTAACCATGAGAAGATCATTGTCGAGTTGAGAAATTCAAAATCAGCTTCTCTGGTTAATGTTTATTAGGGGGGAAAACATGTTGATATTTATACAATAAACTTAATATTTTACCTGTCTCTTTATCAACCTGAGATACAAGTCTGCTATTAGAGTTGTCAATGCGTTTTGGTGCTGCAAAATGGTACAAAACCAAGATTAGGGAGACATTCATTTACATACAGCAAACAATGTCTAACATACGATAAGAGAGTATTCTGGTTTCTTCTTCGGACCTGTGTTAGTTATAGTTAAAATAGTTATATAAATCCTCATTAATAACTCAGTGACTGGAGTAGAGGTTCTATACTCTGTTTGTCTCCGCCTAGACCACTTCGCTCAGTCAGCTGAGTGTATGACATCATCTCTGAGACAGAAATGTCCTTATATGGATGTCAATAGGGGCTCTAGGAAGCCACTTGCATATTTTCTGAGCAGATTAGAAACAGACTAACAATTAATTATTGACAGTGACCTCACTCAATGGTTTGGTCATAGACTCAAACTGATTTGGACATCCCTTGTCCCCCTCTTTATTCATAATGGACTTTCTCTTGTCCCATCTCTGAGGCTGGACACCTTGGGGGTCAGTCGACACACTGTGGTGGTTTAAGGGCATACTGCGAGATTCAGACAATTAAGCCGTTTTTCTACTTACCCAGTGTCAGATGAACTCATATGCTACCGTACCTGTAGACTTCCAGTCATTGCTCTAACACTAGTTACCATTTTCTCGCGAAACTACCTTTAACTTCCTTCATACTGCATGCAGAAACATAAAAATGGTATCCACAAGTTCACCTAACTCTGGGGAAGTAGATAAACGGTTTGCCATAATCTTGCAGTATCCCTTTAAGGTACGTGCTTAAAGGGCTTAATGGTGCTTTATCTCAAGTTGCGGGCAGTGAAAGGCCATTACTTGTAGTTCCTCTCCCAGAACTTGACGGGCCGCGGGTAGGAGGTGATGAAGATGGCGCTGCCCAGGAAGGGGCTGAGAGGGGTGTAGAACAGAGTTGTGATGAACGTCTGCAGCAGCAACATGGCTGAGTCTGAGCTGCATCATGAAGGAGAACCCCCACAACCAAGGAACAACCACCAGGTATTAACAGGTTTACCATACTCACATACCTGCTGTCAAATTTGCGGTTACAGTTTCAGTCAGAGCAACGTCAAAACATATGTGGAAACGTGTAGTTCATACACATGCCAAAACCGAAGGATACGAGGCACAGCGAAGGGCTGAGCGAACGCGTGGAAGGCACTGCCCCATGCGATCTGCCACGGTGCGATGTAGACCATGATGAAGTGGAGCTTGTGAAGCAGATCACTGAGCTGTAGAGGAACAAAGACCTACTGTGAGTCACTGACAGACAACAAATAGTTCTTTTTTAGATCAGATCCTAAAAATAAATCAAAGATAATCAAAAGAAAGAAGGCCACTCTACAGAGCAGCTGTGTTCGCTGCTTCACAGACCCCAAATAATGCTACTGTAAAAAAAATTATCAACTGTAGGAAGTTTGGGGACCGCAGCCATAGTGAGTTGCATTCATTTCCTATCTTATCGTATTCAGAGGTCTGTCATTGGGAGAGTGTGTACCAGTCTCTGGTCACGTCACAGACTGACCTTGTGGAAGACAATGGACATAATAAAGAAATCCAGCAGAAAGGTTTCAGAGGCTCTGCTGCAGTCAAACTCGAAGAAGATGACAGTGAAGATGAGAGTGACGAACTGGAAGCTGGGACTGCAGAAGGAGGCGCGGAGGAGTTTCATCCCAGCAACTGTCATCAACAAGACATCACAGCTGGAGCGAGACAGAGACCTGAGCGACTCAGGCGCACAGGCGGGACACAGCGGAGCAAAGCAAAGGGGTGACATGGAGGGGGAGGGTGGCAGGGGAGACAAATGCACCAATACTAGCTAATACTGTTGTTACGGATACAGGTATCCTGTGTTTTTGTGTGTTTCTACTCTTTCTGCCCTAATCACAGGTGTCCTGTTTGTTCCTGATTGGTGGTCGTTGAAGTGTCTGCTGATTGGACCAATCAGTGAACATGCCTGTGAATTGCACCACCTGTTACTCGTTTGTTCAATCACACATCCCATTTTATAAAAACCAGACTTGTGTTTGTTGCAAGGGAGAGAGACTTTTTCCATATGTGAGTATGGACACGGTGGTGTCCTGTGTATTGTGTACTCACTAAGTTGTTGGTTACCCTATTGGTAACTTTATTAGAATCTATTTCTTTATGTGAGTGTGGATACTGTTGTGTCCTGTGTATTGTGTACTTACTTTGTTGCTGATTACCCTGTTTGGTAGCTTTGTGTGTTTCTGGGAAAAGGGGAGTTTAAGCTAGTTGCCCTTGGGCGTACATTACCCGTAGGAAGAAATCTGTCTAAACACTAGTTAGACCTGAGCGGACCACCCACTGTATTTTTGTATGGTAGCAGTAGCCTAGCGGTTCTTGAGGCAGGCAAGATCAGTTTAGGGGGTTTTACACTATTGTTTCATTTCTTGGGTCCTGCTCAGCCCTTTTTCCCAAACCCTTACCGTGTGTTCAGAAATAAACACTTTATGTTTGACGGTAGTTCATGGTTGTTGTGTCATTTTTGTTCTCACTGTTCCATGCCACACTTATAATTTACATGAATTTATGTTACGGGTCTCATGTCCATCCACCCTAGATGTTTAGAGCCACGGGGTTCGTAACATAAAGTGGGGGCTCGTCCGGGATCTATCCCATGCTACTCATGTAAATTAGTAAGTGTCTGGTTCAGTGTTGAGCTTGGCAGCTGTACTACCTGTTTTTTTTTGTGTTCAGTAGTCGACGGCTCGTGTTGCTAGTAGAATGGCTACTTTTGAGCTAGAGGCATTTTTGGAAAACCCTACGTGGGGGGTTTTTGAAAATTGCCGTAGAGTGGATCTACAGGTTTTGGCTGACCACTTTTCTGTACCCATACCGAGGGGTTTAGTGAAAGCAGAAGTTAGGGAAGTAGTGTTAGCGATATTATTGAACGAGCGAGTGCTTGAGTTACCGCCGCCTGAGTCTGCTGCTCCTGTAGGGGATGTGGTTGCTGTTCCTGTAAGCCCATCAGTGTCTGAAGACGAGGCTAAGGCTCCAGCCACATTCCCCCGTTATGACCCACTCTCCCCACTGACTGACAGTGATGCCAGGATCGATGTCCGTTCGACCCGGTCCAAATGGAGGCGGAAGAGCGGGCACAAATCAGGCAAGACAAGCTGGAGATGCGTAAAATGGAGCTAGAGGCAGAACAGGAGACGCGTAAGCTAGAGGCAGAACTGGAGACGCGTAGGCTTGATCAAGAACTGGAGACGCGTAAGATGGAACTGGAGATGCGTAAAATGGAACTAGAGGCAGAAACAGCGAGGTTAGTCTCTGCTCATACTATGCCTGCTAGTGAGCCATCCTCACCAGCTGTGTCATCTGCTACGTTTGATATTAGTAGGCAGATCACCTTGGTACCTGTGTTTAGGGAGTCAGAGGTTGATTCCTATTTCAGTGTGTTTGAACATATAGCGGTAGCATTGAAATGGCCCGACGAGGTATGGTGCCTATTACTTCAGTGTAAGCTAACAGGTAAAGCCCAAGAGGTTCTGGCAGCGCTACCTCTTGAAGACAGTTTGAATTATGAAGTGGTCAAAGCTACTGTTCTTCGTGCCTATGAGCTTGTTCCTGAGGCATATCGACAGAGATTTAGGTCTCATAAAAAGTCTCCTACTCAGACTTATGTGGAGTTTGCTAGAGACAAAGGAAATCTGTTTGACAAATGGCACAGTGCTAGTAAGGTAACTGATTTTAACTCTCTACGGGAGTTAATCTTGTTAGAAGAGTTTAAAAATTGCTTACCGGAACGCATTGTAGTTTATCTGAACGAACAGAAAGTATCCTCACTGTCGGAAGCGTCTGTATTGGCAGACGAGTTTGTGTTGACGCATAAGAGCGTGTTTTCGGCTCGTACGGAGAGCAGGGCTGCGGAGTTGCTAACTTTTAGTCCTAGTCGACCAGCAGTACATCCAGCGCGCCCAAAAGATGTGCGTCACTGTTTCTATTGTCATAAGGTGGGACATATGGTTAATGATTGGTTTCTGCTAAAACGCAAACCGGGGATGCCTCAGCACGCCAGGCCACCAACGGGTGTTGGGCTGATTCGTACGGTTGTAAGGCCGGAATCAAGACAGAAGCCGCATAGTGAATGTGGTTTGAAAGTCCCTGTCCCAGATCACAGTTATGAACCGTTCATTTTTGAGGGGTTTGTTTCTATATCAGATGACGAAGCGTCTCAGCGTCCAGTTAGAATCCTCAGAGATACTGGTGCGGCGCAGTCGTTCATAATATCTGATGAGTTGCCCTTGGGCGTACATTACCCGTAGGAAGAAATCTGTCTATAAACACTAGTTAGACCTGAGCGGACCACCCACTGTATTTTTGTATGGTAGCAGTAGCCTAGCGGTTCTTGAGGCAGGCAAGATCAGTTTAGGGGGTTTTACACTATTGTTTCATTTCTTGGGTCCTGCTCAGCCCTTTTTCCCAAACCCTTACCGTGTGTTCAGAAATAAACACTTTGTTTGACGGTAGTTCATGGTTGTTGTGTCATTTTTGTTCTCACTGTTCCATGCCACACTTATAATTTACATGAATTTATGTTACGGGTCTCATGTCCATCCACCCTAGATGTTTAGAGCCACGGGGTTCGTAACACTGTATATACATCACACTTTCTTCCCTAGCAAAGGTCATGCATAGTGATATTTGTGATATTTCTTTGATTGATGAAGGTACTCAGGGTTTTGTTGCACCTCCAACATGCACAGTGGGGAGTGGTGGAGACCAAGGTTATTATAGTAAACTAAAACTGAAACTAAAATGAAAATGAATCATGAAAAAACTATTTTGTAAACTGAAATAAAATCATTAACAAACCCGTTTGAAAAACTAAAACGATACTGAAACTATCTTTGACTCGAAAACTAACGCAAAAAAAAATAAAAACCATCATGAATTATGTTCAGTTTTCTTTTTGTTTTCTTTTTTACTTTGGGCAAAAATCTAATGGGGTTTTCAAGCTTCTTTCTAAAGGGGTTTTCAAGCTTTTTTTCTAATGGGGTTTTTAAGCTTCTGAATCTGGTGGGTAAATGCTGCCAGAAGGTGGCGATGTTTCAAATAGGCCAAACATCACTATCACTAGCTATCACTAGCTAACAAGGAAGAAATCCGGTACATTCTGTCCCTAACACTAAAACTGAAAATAAATATTATCAAAACAAAATACATTTTTATTCAACTCAAACTAAGTAAAAACTAGTAAATCAGGTTGAAAAACTAATAGAAATAAAAATGAATATAAAAACATACAACTATAATAACCTTGGTGAAGACTGTATAGTATAAACCTGTGAAGAACTGTGTGTTTCTGGAAAACGTTTCCCCAGGCGCTACATGAAGACTGGCATTTTAAGTTAATCGAATAAGTGTGACAGAGGCAAGTTTAAGGTATTTCACACTGTCTACCTGGAAAAACATTAACTCTACATTCTAAACTGAATGTTAGACAGATTATCTAAACAAACTGGTTTTAAACTAAAAATGGTTCTTAGAAGACCTGCGTCAAATACTTGATTTAGTCTCGGTACAATGGAACCACTGGAATAGTTCCAAAAGTAGAAACTAAACCAAGCTAAACCAAGAGCACATCAAATACTGGATTTGTTCTGACATTCGTGATTTATTGTTTTTGGTTTTTGATTATTATAGTATTTGTGTCCTTGTTTGACATTTTTGATGCACTGTAGGAGCTATTAACACAATCATTTCGCTGCACCCCCTGTAACATCTGCCAAACTGTGTACGCGACCAATAAACTTTGATTTGATTTACTTTATTTGACACAGGTCTGGGTTTTGGTGTCAAGGAAAGGAGGGTGTATGTGTTTTTTATTAAAATCTTTAAGAAAGATACTCACTGGATGCCTAGCTTCTTTCGGTGACTGAGTGAGAAGCCATCATTGGTGAGCGCACTCAGAATGATGGCTGGGTAAACAACGTATTTCTCAAAACACAGCAGGCCCATGTACAGACGCTCAAACCACATCAACTGAGCATCGTCTGGAAAATGAAATCAACTTTAATCACAAAACGTAAGAGCTGTTCATTATATTTGCAGCATTTGACACATCTTTATAGTCATTCTTGGCTTGTGAATATGGATCAATGACTACACTGCATGGCTTGGTTTTGGATTTGAAGAGGGGGAATGAAACTGATTTAATTGGGAAATAACCTAAAGGCAACCTCAGACAAAGATGAAGGCACAGGGAGGAGGTGTTCACTAAATTACTGAACCCACATATGTGTATAGAACTATAGGCTATTACATTTAGTGTTTCATCAAATGTTCTATAAAATATGTCTAAAGAGACAAAACGCTGTAGGAAGAAAACATTTCAAACATCCGATAAATAAGCCAGACTTGACCTCTTGGGGGGGAGAGAAAGGGGGGAGAGGGGGAGGAGAGGAAAGGGGGAGCGTGAGGAAGAAAGATTCAAGGAGGAGAGAAGGGGGAAGACGATATATAAGCCGGAGAGACTGACCTCATGGAGAGAAAGGGGGGGGAGAGAGAGAGGGGGAAGAGGAAGCAAGACGAGAGGCAGCGACGCAGGGGTGAGAGACGAATAAGGAGGAGAGAGAAGAGAGGGGAGAGAAATGGGGAAGAGCTAGACAACGGGAGAGGAGAAGAGGAGGAGAGAAAGGGGGTAGAAAGAGAGACAAAGGGGGAGAGAAATAGGGACAAAGGAGAGAGGGAAGAGAAAAAGGGGGAGAGAAAGGATGAGAGAAAGGGAGAGCAGAAGAAGTGGGAAGAGAAAGACGAGGATGGTGGGGAGAAGAGGGGGAAGAAAGAGGGAGACAAGGGAAGGGGAAGAAAGGAGGAGAGGACAAGGGAGGAGAGAGTACAGAAGAGAAGGAGGAGAGAAAGTGAGATAGAGAAAGGGGTCGATAGAAAGGGTAGAGAGCAAAAGGGGTAGAAGGAGAGAGAGAGAAGGACCGAAGAAGAAAGGCGACATACGAGGGGGGATAGGAAAGGGGGAGAGAGAGTAAAAGGGGGGAGAGAAGAGGGAGAGAAGGAGAGAGAGAGAAGAGAGAGGAGAGAAAGGAGAGGACGAGAAAAGAGGGAGAGAAAGGAGCTTCTTCCCTTCCTCAAGTGAGCCCTGGGGCTCCCCGTGTTCTCTCGGAGGAGATGAGCCGAAAGGGGGAGAGAATGGGAGCGCGCCAAAGTGATCCCGAGAAAAAGCCCATGATAGGGAGAGAACGGGACGAGAGAGAAAGGAGGAGAGAAAGTGAAAAAGAAAGGGGGAGAGAGGGAGTGCCTGGGTGGTTGACTGAATACCAAACCGATGCAAAAACGTTTAATTTACGACACCACAGTAATTATTTCCCGATGAAACAACATTGTTTTATGACACAAACAACATTTATGACACATAGTTTAGGGATGGTGTTTGGTGGTAGGAAACCCACCTTTAGGGACAGGAAGACAGTGCTTGAAGTAATAGCAAAGGTTAAAATGTAGGCAATGGAGCAGACCACAAGATCTGAAAGAAGAATCTCCTTCTGCCAAAAGCAAATCATCCAATATCACAACGGAATGTAATAATGTGTTAAAGTCAAACTAAAACAGGAGACAGCGTTTGAGTGGAACAAATCCATTTAGAAGTAGAGGAGACAATGCAAGTCTCTTGACTTACCACTGAATTCATGAGCTTCTCAGGAAGAGGGTCCTTGATGTCTTCTGAGTCTTCATCCTCTTCCTCACTTTCCACAAGAGTGGGCATCAGTTTGGACTTGATCAGAGACCTGTCATGGACAACAAGGAGAATGTCTTTGCACTAACACCTCTCATAGAGTCAGCATGTTAGCAGGCATAACAATAGGAGGAGCAGGCGGCTTACATCAGTACAGTCGGGTCACTGTTCTGCCCACTCAAATGGTAGGAGAGAACCACCAGCAAGCCACAGAACCCAGAGAACAAGGCTGGGGTGTGCTGTTCATCCCAGGGCTCCTTCAGAATAGAATATAATCAAATAGAAATATTGATAATGGCACCTAAACAGAACATCTATTTTAAAATGTTGAAGGCCAACCCTCCTCTATAAAAACAGAGAACTGCAAATGGTTGCCTCATTCAGGCCTAATATTTGTAAGGATGAATATGGACACGTTGCATTGCTGCAGGCATAGTGGCATACCTTTTTCCATCAGAGAGCCTTCTTAAGGCTATTTGTAACGTTTGACTTAAACCCCTCTTACCAGCAGATTGGAATACTAAATAATCACCCAAGCAGAACAGTGCTTTCATTAGCCTGGAGGAAGAGAGAGCTGCTACCTAAAAAGCTATTTGATTTCTCATGCTTGACTAAGCTGCCTCTGCAGCAACAAACTGTTCTGTCGCAGTGCAAAGCATATCCTTCACGTAATCATATACACACATCTTTACTCAACAATTAATTCAATCCTACCTTCAGAGCTCCAAAACAGAACCCGTACAGCAAAGATAATGCCGTCAGACTACGGAATATGCTGTATACTGCTGAGTGGAGTCCAGATGCAGCTGACACAGGAAGTGGACACACAGGCATCAGGTTGAGGCGTAAGACTTTGGTGGTGTCACGATCGTCGAGTAGCGAAGTAGACCAAGGCGCAGCGTGTGAAATAAACATGACTTTATTTAATTAAAGTTCCTAAATATAAACAAAACACGATTCGTGAAGTCCACGGTTAAACATACCGTCACGGAACAAAAACCCACAAACACAAGGTGAACACAGACAGTTTAAATATGGCTCCCAATCAGAGACAACGAGCCAACAGCTGACACTCGTTACCTCTGATTGGGAGTCACTCAAACAAAGAAATACAACAACCTAGAAATAGACACAACAGAACTACCAACATAGAAATAAACACATAGAATGAACACACCCTGGCTCAACATAATGAGTCCCAGAGCCAGGGTGTGACAGTACCCCCCCCTAAAGGCGCAGACTGCGACCGCGCCTGCGCCTCAACTAAACAAAACAGGGGAGGGCTGGGCGGGCATACCTCCTCGGCGGCGGTTCTGGCTCCGGCCTTGATCCCCACCTCCTCTCCAACCCCCCAACGTACCCCTGGTCCTGTCTAGCCCCGCCGGCCGGAGCCAGACTGACGACACGCGCCCCTGGCTTGGTGCGTGGAGGACGAACGGGCCTTACCAGGCTGACGACGCGCACCACTGCCTTGGCGCGGGGAGCAGGAATGGGCCGGACCGGGCTGATGAAGCCCACTCCTGACTTGGTGCGGAGAGCGGGACCGGACCGGACAGGGCTGACGAAACGCACCACAGACTTGGTGCGGGGAGCAGGAACGGGCCGGACAGGGCTGACGACACGCACCACAGACTTGGTGCGGGGAGCAGGAACGGGCCGGACAGGGCTGACGAAACGCACCACAGACTTGGTGCGGGGAGCAGGATTGGGCCGGACAGGGCTGACGAAACGCACCACCAACTTGGTGCGGGGAGCAGGAATGGGCCGGACTGGGCTGTCGACGCACACCGTAGACTTGGTGCGTGGAGCAGGAACAGGTCGGGCAGGGCTGTCGACGCACACCGTAGACTTGGTGCGGGGAGCAGGACTGGGCCGGACAGGGCTGTCGACGCACACCGTAGGCTTTGTGCGTTGAGCAGGAACAGGCCGGGCTGGGCTGGCGACGCACACCGTAGGTTTTGTGCGTGGAGCAGGAACAGGCCGGACCAGACTGACGACTCGCACCCTTGGCTTGGTGCGAGTAGCAGGAACGGGCCGGACCGGGCTGGCGACGCGCACCGTATGTTTGGTGCGAGTGGCAGGAACAGGCCGGGTCGGGCTGGCGACGCGCACCGTAAACTTAGTGCGGGTGGCAGGAACAGGCCGGACCGGGCTGGCGATGCGCACCGTATGTTTGGTGCGAGGAGCAGGAACCGGCCGGGCAGGGCTGGCGACGCACACCGTAGGCTTTGTGCGTGGAGCAGGAACAGGCCGGGCTGGGCTGGCGACGCACACCGTAGGCTTTGTACGTGGAGTAGGAACAGGCCGGTCCATACTGGGAACACACACCACTGGCCTTAACCGGGGATCAGGAACGGGCCGGACCGGACTGGCAACACACCTCAGTCTCTCACGCCGTGCCTCAACTACTTCCCTCCCTCTACTCGCCAATGGCTCCCGTAATCCGGTAGCCTTCTCTCCACGTCTCCCTGTGGCAGCCTCCTGCTGCCCAGCCGCCCAAGCCATGTGCCCCCCCCCAAAAAACTTTTTGGGGTTGCCTCTCGTCCTTCCGACGATGGCCCTGCTGACGCCGTTGCTCCTCTCTCAGTCGCCTCTCCACTGTTTTACTCCATGGCCGGCGATCCATCCCATCCAGGATCTCCTCCCAAGTCCAAGACCCTTTACCGTCCACAATCTCCTCCCATGTCCAGACCCTTGGCTCCTGGACACGCTGCTTGGTCCTGGTATGGTGGGTTTTTCTGTCACGATCGTCGAGTAGCGAAGTAGACCAAGGCGCAGCGTGTGAAATAAACATGACTTTATTTAATTAAAGTTCCTAAATATAAACAAAACACGATTCGTGAAGTCCACGGTTAAACATACCGTCACGGAACAAAAACCCACAAACACAAGGTGAACACAGACAGTTTAAATATGGCTCCCAATCAGAGACAACGAGCCAACAGCTGACACTCGTTACCTCTGATTGGGAGTCACTCAAACAAAGAAATACAACAACCTAGAAATAGACACAACAGAACTACCAACATAGAAATAAACACATAGAATGAACACACCCTGGCTCAACATAATGAGTCCCAGAGCCAGGGTGTGACAGGTGGTACAGTATGCATTGAGTTCATGATATTATGAAGATCAAAGTAAACAGAGAAGATACTCACCTGTTCCACCAAATAAATGAATGTCTATTTGTTCTAGCAGGTAAATCATAAAGGTGTTGATTTGTGGGAACAGGCCAACGAGAAATGTGATAGGAAAGCAGAAGGTGAGGCCTGTGGAATATGAAACAGACAGGACTTTAGAACTAAGCTTTTTCTAATGAAAAAATAAAACACCTCATTTAAATTCATTTCCTTGAGATGGCTAGAAATGGTCATAGAAATGATTTACTGTATGTGACTTACCCACTAAAATGTCTCTCAGGAATTTGAGAGCATCTGCTAATACTATGGGGATGCCATATACAGTGGACACAGGCAGGTCCTTCCTTCTTAACATCTGTTCCAGAATCCAAATAAGGCCACAGAAAATGCAGAAATAAGTTGCCCGGCTATAGGCAACAATCTGATTGTGTCCCTGGAAAACATCAAGAGGGGAGAGAAATGAAACAGAGAAACCTCGAACCGTCTACTTGGAAAAAAACGTAGATAATAAACAACCAGAGAAAATGTATCTTCACACTTTTAGAATATGTTCCATTTAGACTCACATGTGTTAGCGAGGCTGCATCAGGTTGCACACTCTGTAATACAAACAATTTGTTCAAAGCTTTATTAACGTGATTAACTGATATACAGTCAATGACTGACAGAGAAATGTTTCCATCAGTAATGTGTCAGATAAGAAGTACTTAGCTAAAGTTTAATTTTCATTGTTACAGTGGAGTATGTGGTGGGGCAGTGAAAATGACACGTTATTATCACAACCTATCACTGATCTGAATTCTGTCAACACAGATAAGCAATGATTACAATTGATTAGGCCTTATCCCTTGTTACAAAAATAGATACCTTCCTTACCTTTAACAACGAGAACTGGCAGCTAGCGATGACCACGCAGAACTGGAAAACCCAGATGTCTTTGAAGCAGCCGTGGTTGAGCAGGATAAACCCCAGGAAGGCCACCAGGAAGGCCAGGAACACAGCCACTATGTTCTCCACCACATCCTGGTTCCTAAGGGCAGAGGGCAAAGGTCAAAGTAAAGTATCCATCAACTAGTTGATAAATCGCTGAGAGATGGAAAAGGAAAAGGAAAGATAGGAGCCTTTTCTCTTACCTGTCCAACAGCGCCAACAAGGTCAGCCGGTCATACAAGATGTTTACCCACTTCCCAGGAAAAAGCTTAAGCTTGTAGTTCAGCTTACGAGAAGGCTTTTCCTGTGTGGAGGTCTCTGACGACTCATCAATCGAGTCCTCCTCCTGTCAGAAGTGGAATTCAGGTTGCAGTGTAAAAGCAATCTCAATAACACTTTAATTTCTTTAGTCATAAGGGTTACATAATATTGACATAATGGATGAAACAGTCATGACTGTTGGTTTCAGCTTATGACAACTTACTACACACTGTCAAGACACAGATAATGTTTAGATCTGTTCTCATACAGTTACAACATTTAATAATAAGCCATTTAGCAGACGCTTTTATCCAAAGCGACTTACAGTCATGCGTGCATACATTTTTTGTGTATGGGTGGTCCCGGGGATTGAACCCACTACCTTGGCGTTACAAGCGCCGTGCTCTACCAGCTGAGCTACAGAGGACAGTAATAATCATCAGTGTAATTCACCCAGTGTATTTCCTGTCCATCAGTCAACTCCCAGCCATGTGCAGCTGTCATTATATCCCTTAACGGCCATCCGATAACTCAAACCTGGTGTGTGTGTGTGTGTGTGTGTGTGTGTGTGTGTGTGCTGTGTGCTGTGTGCTGTGTGTGTGTGTGTGTGTGTGTGTGTGTGTGTGTCTGTGTCTGTGTGTGTCTGTGTGTGTGTGTGCTGTGAACCATACACCTTAGCTGCCGACTTTGTCCCCAATCATTTTCGGAGCAAAACTATTTCTTTTTTTGTATTATATATTTTTTTATTGTTGGACATAAAACAATGTAAAAACACCAGCAAATCAGCTCCACGTGATTTGAATTTTGGAAATCTGTTACAAAGTATTCCCACACATAATAGAGAGATATACACTACCAGTCAAAGGTTTGGACACACCTACTCATTCAAGGGTTGTTCTTTATTTTTACTATTTTTTACATTGTAGAATAATAGCGAAGACATCAAAACTATGAAATAACACATATGGAATCATGTAGTAACCAAAAAAGTGTTAAACAAATCAAAATATATTTTATATTTGAGATTCTTCAAATAGCCACCCTTTGCCTTGATGACAGCTTTACACACTCTTGGCATTCTCTCAACCAGCTTCACCTGGAATGCTTTTCCAACAGTCTTGAAGGAGTTCCCACATATGCTTAGCACTTGTTGGCTGCTTTTCCTTCACTCTGCGGTCCAACTCATCCCAAACCATCTCAATTGGGTTGAGGTCGGGGGATTGTTGTCACGATCGTCGTAGGAGTGAGTAGACCAAGGCGCAGCGTGTGAAACAAACATGACTTTAATTCGTTAAAGTATACCAAACACGACTCGTGAAGTCCAAAACGGTTACACTAACCGAACACGGAACAAAAACCCACAAACACAAGGTGAACACAGACAGTTTAAATATGGCTCCCAATCAGAGCCAACGAGCCAACAGCTGACACTCGTTACCTCTGATTGGGAGTCACTCAAACAAAGAAATACAACAACCTAGAAATAGACACAACAGAACTACCAACATAGAAATAAACACATAGAATGAACACACCCTGGCTCAACATAATGAGTCCCAGAGCCAGGGTGTGACAGTACCCCCCCCTAAAGGCGCGGACTGCGACCGCGCCTCAACTAAACAAAACAGGGGAGGGCTGGGCGGGCATACCTCCTCGGCGGCGGTTCTGGCTCCGGCCTTGACCACCACCCTCCGATACACCCCCCAAAGTACCCCTGGTCCTGTCTAGCCCCGCTGGCCGGAGCCGGACTGACGACACGCGCCCCTGGCTTGGTGCGTGGAACAGGAATGGACCGGAATGGGCTGGCGACGCGCACCACAGACTTGGTGCGGAGAGCAGGAACGAGCCGGACAGGGCTGACGACGCACCCCGTAGGCTTGGTGCGTGGAGGAGGAACGGGCCTTACCAGGCTGACGACTCGCACCCCTGGCTTTGTGCGTGGAGGAGGAACGGGCCTTACCAGGCTGACTTCTCGCACCCCTGGCTTAGTGCGAGTGGCAGGAACAGGCCGGACCGGGCTGGCGACGCGCACCGTAGGTTTGGTGCGAGTGGCAGGAACAGGCCGGGTCGGGCTGGCGACGCGCACCGTAGGTTTGGTGCGAGTGGCAGGAACAGGCCGGACCGGGCTGGCGACGCGCACCGTAGGTTTGGTGCGAGTGGCAGGAACAGGCCGGGTCGGGCTGGCGACGCGCACCGTAGGTTTGGTGCGAGTGGCAGGAACAGGCCGGGTCGGGCTGGCGACGCGCACCGTAGACTTGGTGCGGGTGGCAGGAACAGGCCGGACCGGGCTGGCGACGCGCACCGTAGGTTTGGTGCGAGTGGCAGGAACAGGCCGGGTCGGGCTGGCGACGCGCACCGTAGACTTGGTGCGGGTGGCAGGAACAGGCCGGACCGGGCTGGCGACGCGCACCGTAGGTTTGGTGCGAGTGGCAGGAACAGGCCGGGTCGGGCTGTGGAGACGGATAGGAGGCCTGGAGTGAACAGCGGCCACCACCCGTCCTGGCTGAATGCCTACCCTCACACACTCTGTGTGAGGCATCCGCACAGGACGTACAGGGCGGTGTACCCCTGGCCTGGTGGCCTCCTGGATTCGCCCCATCTTTGCCTCCGTCGTCCATGCCGTGTGCCCCCCTTTAAAAATTTATTGGGGTTGCCTCTCGACCCTCCGACGCTGCTCCCACGTCCAGGTTGCCTGTTCCTGGACACGCTGCTTGGTCCTTTGATGGTGGGTTTTTCTGTCACGATCGTCGTAGGAGTGAGTAGACCAAGGCGCAGCATGTGAAACAAACATGACTTTAATTCGTTAAAGTATACCAAACACGACTCGTGAAGTCCAAAACGGTTACACTAACCGAACACGGAACAAAAACCCACAAACACAAGGTGAACACAGACAGTTTAAATATGGCTCCCAATCAGAGCCAACGAGCCAACAGCTGACACTCGTTACCTCTGATTGGGAGTCACTCAAACAAAGAAATACAACAACCTAGAAATAGACACAACAGAACTACCAACATAGAAATAAACACATAGAATGAACACACCCTGGCTCAACATAATGAGTCCCAGAGCCAGGGTGTGACAATTGTAGATGCCAGGTCATCTGATGCAGCACTCCATCACTATCCTTCTTGGTAAAATAGCCCTTACACAGCCTGGAGGTGTGTTGGGTCATTGTCCTGTTGAAAAACAAATGATAAGCCCAAACCAGATGGGATGGCGTATCGCTGCAGAATGCTGTGGTAGCCATGCTGATTAAGTGTGCCTTGAATTCTAAATAAATCACAGACAGTGTCACCAGCAAAGCACCCCCACACCATAACACTTCCTCCTCCATGCTTTACGGTGGGAAATACACATGCAGAGATCATCCGTTCACCCACACCGCGTCTCACAAATTTGGACTCCAGACCAAAGGACACATTTCTACTGGTCTAATGTCCATTGCTCAAGCAAGTCTCTTCTTCTTATTGGTGTCCTTTAGTAGTGGATTCTTTGCAGCAATTCAACCATGAAGTCCTGATTCACACAGTCTCCTCTGAACAGTTGATGTTGAGATATGCCTGTTACTTGAACTCTGTGAAGCATTTATTTGGGCTGCAATTTCTGAGGCTGGTAACTCTAATGAACTTATCCTCTGCAGCAGAGGTAACTCTGGGTCTTCCATTCCTGTGATGGTCCTCATGAGAGCCAGTTTCATCATAGCGCTTGATGGTTTTTGCGACTGCACTTGAAGAAACCTTCAAAGTTCTTGACATTTTCCCGATTGACTGACCTTCATGTCTTAAAGTAATGATGGACTGTCATTTCTCTTTGCTTATTTGAGCTGTTCTTGCCATAATATGGACTTGGTCTTTTAGCAAATAGGGCTATCTTCTGTATATCACCCCTACCTTGTCACAACACAACTGATTGGCTCAAACGCATTATGAAGAAAATAAATTCCACAAATTAACATTTAAGAAGCCACACCTGTTAATTGAAATGCATTCCAGGCGACTACCTCATGAAGCTGGTTGAGAGAATGCCAAGAGTGTGCAAAGCTGTCATCAAGGCAAAGGGTGGCTATTTGAAGAATCTCAAATATAAAATATATTTTGATTTGTTTAACACTTCTTTGGTTACTACATGATTCCATATGTGTTATTTCATAGTTTTGATGTCTTCACTAGTATTCTACAATGTAGAAGGGGGGGGGGTAACGTCACTTGGAAGATGTTGTGTGGGGGAAGGGGAGGAGGAATGGGTGGAGAGGGAGAAGGGAGGGAGAGAAAGGGGTGTAGTCACCTGGAAGATTTCGGGGTGCGTTCTCCGAGGCCGGAGCCTGCGGCGCTGGAAGGGGCAGTCTGTGTGTGGGCCCGCCAGCCCGTCCTGGCACTCCGAGGAAGTGGACAGGAGATCACTGGGTACACGACAAGGATGACATGGAGAAGCACATTAAGTTTTAAAATACTAAAATGTCAAATATGGTTAGAACACAACAAGAATGTTATACAAATATTACATATCAAATAACTTAGCCTTAGCACCACATGTTGCCTGTGATAAGTTCAGCTCCCAGGGGAAGGTTTAGTGCTCTCTCAGCATACAGTTTACGAGGTCTGTCTCCTGGAATAGAGAACAGACAGAACCTCATGTTTAAAACACCTACCTGATGTGACGTAAGTCATATACACTATGTTATAAAATAGCTGGGCAATAACAAACAATTCACTACCACATTATCCAAGGTTTGTAACGAGTTTGTAGTCTTCAGTGAATTTACCCCAATATTTTGCACTTACTGTGGACTGTATGGAACTTATAGGCGTCCTCCTTGTTAGTGGCCTCTGGTCTGCATATGACCTGGAGCATGGAGCTCTCTGACTGAGATGTTTGGGAGGGCAGGGAGTCGTAGTCTGGCTCTTTATCCTGGTCTGTCTGGGGACTGAGAGTAGAGGACAAACTGTACAACGATCAAAACATTTATTCATTTCCAATAAAGATCAGATTAAAGAACAAAAGAAAGTCAATTGTGATGATGACCTTTTACATCTAAGAGACATTTGAAAAGGTTTACCTGTCTGGAGACACAATGGGGATCCGTGTTTCGGGGGTCATGTGGAGGGTGTCTGTTGTGGCCAGAATATTGAGAGGGATTGGACGCTCCTGCTGGCTCTCTGTCTCTGTGTTAGCGTCAGTGACGTCCTCTGAAAAAACAACATCCCTTTTCAATTTGACCAGCAAATTATTATTATTTTGCACAACAGAGACAATAGGTTCTCTCCTAAAATCATATTTACATTTACATTTTAGCAGACACTCTTATCCAGAGCGACTTACAGGAGCAATTAGGGTTAAGTGCCTTGCTCAAGGGCACATCGGCAGATTTTTCACCTGGTCGGCTTAGGGATTTGAGCCAGCGACCTTTCAGTTACTGGCCCAACGCTCTTAACCGCTACCCTCTTATATGCCACCCTCTTATATGTCTACATTTACAGTGCATTCGGAAAGTATTCAGACCCCTCCATTTTTTCCACATTTTGTTACATTACAGCCTTATTCTAAAATTGATTAAATAAAAAAATGTTTCCTCATCAATCTACACACAATACCCCATAATGACAAAGCGAAAACAGATTTTTAGAAATGTTTGTAAATGTATTACAAATAAAAACAGAAATACCTTATTTACATAAGTATTCAGACCCTTTGCTATGATACTCGAAATTGGGCTCAGGTGCATCCTGTTTCCATTGATCATCCTTGAGATGTTTCTACAACTTGATTGGAGTCCACCTGTGGAATATTTGATTAATTGGACACAATTTAGAAAGGCACACACCAGTCTATATAAGGTCCCACAGTTGACAATGCATGTCAGAGCAAAAACCAAGCCATGAGGATGAAGGAATTGTCCATAGAGCTCAAGACAGGATTGTGTCGAGGCACAGATCTGGGGAAGGGTACCAAAAAATGTCTGCAGCATTGAAGGTCCCCAAGAACACAGTGGCCTCCATCATTCTTAAATGGAAAAAGTTTGGAACCACCAAGACTCTTCCTAGAGCTGGCCGCCCGGCCAAACTGAGCAATCGGGGGAGAAGGGCCTTGGTCAGGGAGGTGACCAAGAACCCGATGGTCACTCTGACAGAGCTCCATAGTTCCTTTGTGGAGATGGGAGAACCTCCCAGAAGGACAACCATCTCTGCAGCACTCCACCAAGCAGGCCTTTATAGTAGAGTGGCCAGACGGAAGCCACTCATCAGTAAAAGGCACATGACAGCCCGCTTGGAGTTTGCCAAAAGGCATCTAAAGACTTTCAGACCATGAGAAACAAGATTCTCTGGTCTGATTAAACCAAGATTGAACTCTTTGGCCTGAATGCCAAGTGTCACGTCTGAAGGAAACCAGGCACCGCTCATCACCTGACCAATACCATCCCTACGGTGAAGCATGGTGGTGGCAGTATCATGCTGTGGGGATGTTTTTTAGCGGCAGGAACTGGGAGACTAGTCAGGATCGAGGGAAAGATGAACGGAGCAAAGTACAGAGAGATCCTTGATGAAAACCTGCTCCAGAGCGCTTAGGACCTTAGACTGGGGCGAAGGTTCACCTTCCAACAGGACAACGACCCTAAGCACACAGCCAAGACAACGCAGGAGTGGCTTCGGGACAAGTCTCTGAATGTCCTTGAGTGGCCCAGCCAGAGCCTGGACTTGAACCTGATCGAACATTTCTGGAGAGACCTGAAAATAGCTGTGCAGCGACGCTCCCCATCCAACCTGACAGAGCTTGAGAGGATCTGCAGAGAAGAATAGGAGAAGCTCCCCAAATACAGGTTTGCCAAGCTTGTAGCGTCATACCAAGAAGACTCAAGGCTGTAATAGCTGCCAAAGGTGCTTCAACAAAGTACTGAGTAAAGGGTCTGAATACTTGTGTAAATGTCATATTTCCATTTTGAAAAAAAATTGAAAAACCTGTTTTTTCTTTGTCATTATGGGGTATTGTGTGTAGATTGATGAGGGGGAAAAAACAAAATGTGGAAAAAGTCAAGGGGTCTGAATACTTTCCGAAGGCACTGTATATGAAGACCCCCCCGTGAAGATACATTTCAGGGAAGACAGGGAACCATGCATATGGCTAGACTAACCTTCCTTCATGGCTCTGGCTCCCTCTTCTGTCACCTCCTCTGGTGGGTTTCCACTGGCTCCCATGGTGCTGTTAATGGACTCCAGCAGTGACACAAACTCCACAAAGTTGGACTCGTTGGGGATCTGGCCCTCCTTGGCCTCCAGGTCTGACTTGGACGAAGTCATGGTAGTCTGTCTGTTCTGTGATCTGTCCGCAATGAGGACTGCATCCTTCCCACTGTCCATGCTCAAGCCTCGCACGTGTGTCCTGCCCCCTGGGCCGTAGTTCCTGAACGTAGACGGGATTCGCAGGAAGCCATCTGCATCCACATTGAGGTCAGGAGGGTCGTTCTCGTCAGGGTGGGAGTGGACGTCGATGCCAGAGGACCTGTTGTCGGCTGTGGTCAACAGGGGGCTGGGGTGTTCCAGGTCTGCCTCGTTGTAGTCCCGGCAGTCCAGAACGGCAGAGTCAGATCTCATCAACTCTTTGGTGATCTGGCCGTCTGGGCTTGGAGTCTGCAGCTGAGCAGGGTCAGCCTCAGATAAGGGTTCCCTTTCATTCTCTGCACCACTCCATTCATCATCCTCAGGCGAGTCAAAGGTGATAACAGGAATTTTGATGAGGCAGTCGCCAGCAGCCTATCTGTGCCTGGGCAGACTCCAGGATGCTCTGTTTGACCAACTCCTCCAGCTCCGCAGCCGTCTGGGCATCACAGCTCATGGTGATGATGATCTTGACCGTGTCGTTCTCGTCCAGGCGGGCTGATGGGTCAGAGTTGTCCACCAAGACAACAGCGATCTCGTCCGAGCAGTATGTCTCCTCTGGCTGGTCTAGAGAGCTGTTGTTGGGGTCCTGTTGGGGCTGTTTTTCCTGCTCTGTTTGCTTTCTTCTCTCTTCATCACTCCCCTTGGAGGAGGGCAGTCCCTCATCAGCAGTCTCCCTATCAGCCACATGCTTCTGCTCCCCCAGCAGGAGAGGGGCAGCCTGGTCAGGGTTGGGGCTAGACAGGTCCTCTGGGGAGAGCTCCTCCTCAGGCTGCAGGCTCTCTGTGGGTTGTTTCTCCTCAGGGATACTGTCACTATGGGCTGCAACAGATATACTACTGTTACAAAGAGCATATTGACAGGAATTTAGAATGACTCATAAATACAAAAAAATTACGTCTCAGTCATTACAATTTCTGCTCTTAACTAACAATAAAGGATATTGATCTTCTCAGCAACACTTTGCAAAACCAACATTTACTGGAAGCTGATGGCATGCTTATCTGAGCGTATTTGAAGCAATAATGTGCTAGGCTAGCATAATGAGTGCTAATCAATCTATCACTACATCCATACAATGCATTCCAGGAAGAACATTTCATTCTCACAGTGAGATTTGAGAATAGAAAACCCATTTCCTGCTATAGGGGGAAATTAGATCAGTTTATAAAACATATGAGAGTACAGTACCTTCAGTATTCTTTAAGTCTTCTGCTTTTGGGAACTCCTGTAAGGGCAAGAGATGATGGTGGAAAGAAAAATGGGGAAAATGGTGCTCATTAAACTAAAAAATGTATATTTAAGCAATAAGGCACAAGGGGGTGTGGTATATGGCCAATATACCACGGCTGTTCATAGGCACGACGCATCGCGGAGTGCCTGGACACAGCCCTTACCGTGATATATTGGCAATACACCACAAACCCCCAAGGTGCCTTATTGCTATTATAAACTGGTTACCAACGTAATTAGAGCAGTAAAAATATATGTTTTGTCATGCCTGTGGTATACGGTCTGATATAGCACGGCTGTCAGCCAATCAGCATTCAGGGCTTGAACCACCAGTTTATAATCCATAATATACTAATATAAACACAACATGCAACAATTTCAACGATTTTACTGAGTTACAGTTCATATAACGAAATCAGTCAATTGAAGTACATTCATTAGGCCCTAATCACTGGATTTCACATGACTGGGCAGGGGACGCAGCCATGGGTGGGCCACCCACTTGGGAGCCAGGGCCACCCACTGGGGAGCCAGGCCCAGCCAATCAGAATGAGAAAGAAGCCGGATGTGGAGGTCCTGGGCTGGTGTGGTTACATGTGGTCTGCGGTTGTGAGGCCGGTTGGACGTACTGCCAAATTCTCTAAAACAACGTTGGAGGTGGCTTATGGTAGAGAAATGAACATTCAATTCTCTGGCAACAGCTCTGGTGGACATTCCGGCAGTGAGCATGCCAATTGCACGCTCCTTCAAAACTTGAGACATCTGTGGCATTGTGTTGTGTGACAAAACTGCACATTTTAGAGTGGCCTTTAATTGTCCCCAGCACAAGGTGCACCTGTGTAATGGGCATTTTATTGTCCCCAGCACAAGGTGCACCTGTGTAATGATCATGCCGTTTAATCAGCTTCTTGATATGCCACACCTGTCAGGTGGATGAATTATCTTGGCAAAGGAGTTATGCTCACTCATAGGGATATAAACAAATTTGTGCACAAAATTTGACAGAAATTAGCTTTTTGTGCGTATGGAACATTTCTGGGATATTTTATTTCAGCTCATGAAACATGGGACCAAGACTTTACATGTTGCATTTATATTTTTGTTCAGTATAATATAGTATTAGAATGAAGCTAAAGAGTAGTTTAAATGGTACACTAACCACTCCAATCAACCCAGGGTCCGTCTCTATCTGTTTCACTGTAACCTGGATGACTGGACTCTGCCTGTTTCTGGTCAACATTGTCATGGCAACACTGTCAGGAACCGTGCTGCTTTTCCTATTTGGAAAGATGTAGAGTATGTGGTCATCTGTGGTAGTTCCTTTAACATAGGATGACTTCATGTTTTTCAAGACAAAAGCACTACTTCAAAGCTATATATCCTTTGGAATATATTGGTTATACATTTTGTTTTTATAAACATGCTCACCTTAATGTAGCTGGAAGACATGAATCTGAGACGTTGCTATTATTCTCTGCACCTTGGATGACATCAGAGAGACTGCTTGGGGGCACAACGTCGCCTTTATCAAACATCACATGGAGGCGATAGTTGACAATCTTTATGGTGATGAAGAAGATGGTGACTGAGGTGCAGTATATACTAAGTGCCATGGTGGTGGGCGGAAGAGTCTGAGGATAGAACACACCATACTAACAAGACAACATACTAACAAGACAACATGTAGGACAGCATACTAACAAGACAACATACTAACAAGACATCATGTAGGACAGAATACTAACAAGACATCATGTAGGACAGAATACTAACAACACATCATGTAAGACAACATACTAACAAGACATCATGTAGGACAACATACTAACAAGACATCATGTAGGACAACATACCAACAAGACAACATGTAGGACACCATACTATCAAGACAACATACTAACAAGACAACATGTAGGACAGCATACTAACAAGACAACATGTAGGACAGCATACTAACAAGACATCATGTAGGACAGAATACTAACAAGACATTATGTAGGACAACATACTAACAAGACAACAGGTAGGACACCATACTAACAAGACAACATACTAACAAGACAACATGTAGGACAGCACACTAACAAGACAACATGTAGGACAGCATACTAAGAAAACATAATGTAGGACAGCATACTAACAAGACAACATGTAGGACAGCATACTAACTTGACAGCATACTAACAAGACAAAATGTAGGACAGCATACTAACAAGACAACATACTAACAAGACAACATGTAGGACAGCATACTAACAAGACAACATGTAGGACAACATACTAACAAGACAACATGTAGGACAACATACTAACAAGACATCATGTAGGACATAATACTAACAAGACATCATGTATGACAACATACTAACAAGACAACATGTAGGACACCATACTAACAAGACAACATACTAACAAGAAAACATGCATGACAGCATACTAACAAGACATCATGTAGGACAGCATACTAAGAAAACATCATGTAGGACAGCATACTAACAAGACAACATGTAGGACAGCATACTAACCTAACAACATACTAACAAGACAAAATGTAGGACAGCATACTAACAAGACAACATACTAACAAGACATCATGTAGGACACAATACTAACAAGACAACATACTAACAAGACAACATGTAGGACAGCATACTAACAATGCAACATGTAGGACAGCATACTAACAAGACATCATATAGGACAATATACCAACAAGACAACATGTAGGACACCATACTAACAAGACAACATACTAACAAGAAAACATGTAGGACAGCATACTAACAAGACAACATACTAACAAGACATCATGTAGGACAGAATACTAACAAGACATCCTGTAGGACAGAATACTAACAAGACATCATGTAAGACAACATACTAACAAGACATCATGTAGGACAACATACTAACAAGACATCATGTAGGACAACATACCAACAAGACAACATGTAGGACACCATAATATCAAGACAACATACTAACAAGACAACATGTAGGACAGCATACTAACAAGACAACATGTAGGACAGCATACTAACAAGACATCATGTAGGACAACATACTAACAAGACATCATGTAGGACAACACAACATACTAACAATACATAATGTAGGACAGAATACTAACAAGACATCATTTAGGACAACATACTATCAAGACATCATGTAGGACAGAATACTAACAAGACATCACGTAGGACAACATACTAACAAGACAACATGTAGGACACCATTCTAACAATACATAATGTAGGACAGAATACTAACAAGACATCACATAGGACAACATACTAACAAGACAACATGTAGGACACCATTCTAACAATACATAATGTAGGACAGAATACTAACAAGACACTTGTAGGACAACATACCAACAAGACAACATGTAGGACACTATACTATCAAGACAACATACTAACAAGACAACATGTAGGACAGCATACTAACAAGACAACATGTAGGACAGCATACTAACAAGACATCATGTAGGACAGAATACTAACAAGACATAATGTAGGACAACATACTAACAAGACAACAGGTAGGACACCATACTAACAAGACAATATACTAACAAGACAACATGTAGGATAGCATACTAACAAGACATCATGTAGGACAGCATATTAAGAAAACATAATGTAGGACAGCATACTAACAAGACAACATGTAGGACAGCATACTAACTTGACAACATACTAACAAGACAAAATGTAGGACAGCATACTAACAAGACAACATACTAACAAGACAACATGTAGGACAGCATACTAACAATAAAACATGTAGGACAACATACTAACAAGACAACATGTAGGACAACATACTAACAAGACATCATGTAGGACATAATACTAACAAGACATCATGTATGACAACATACTAACAAGACAACATGTAGGACACCATACTAACAAGACAACATACTAACAAGAAAATATGCATGACAGCATACTAACAAGACATCATGTAGGACAGCATACTAAGAAAACATCATGTAGGACAGCATACTAACAAGACAACATGTAGGACAGCATACTAACTTAACAACATACTAACAAGACAAAATGTAGGACGGCATACTAACAAGACAACATACTAACAATACATCATGTAGGACACAATACTAACAAGACAACATACTAACAAGACAACATGTAGGACAGCATACTAACAATGCAACATGTAGGACAGCATACTAACAAGACATCATATAGGACAATATACCAACAAGACAACATGTAGGACACCATACTAACAAGACAACATACTAACAAGAAAACATGTAGGACAGCATACTAACAAGACAACATACTAACAAGACATCATGTAGGACAGAATACTAACAAGACATCCTGTAGGACAGAATACTAACAAGACATCATGTAAGACAACATACTAACAAGACATCATGTAGGACAACATACTAACAATACATAATGTAGGACAGAATACTAACAAGACATCATTTAGGACAACATACTAACAATACATCATGTAGGACAACATACTAACAAGACATCATGTAGGACAACATACTAACAAGACAACATGTAGGACACCATACTAACAAGACAACATACTAACAAGACAACATACATGACTGCATACTTACAATACATAATGTAGGACAGCATACTAAGAAAACATCATGTAGGAAAGCATACTAACAAGACAACATGTAGGACAACATACTAACAAGACATCATGTAGGACATAATACTAACAAGACATCATGTATGACAACATACTAACAAGACAACATGTAGGACACCATACTAACAAGACAACATACTAACAAGAAAATATGCATGACAGCATACTAACAAGACATCATGTAGGACAGCATACTAAGAAAACATCATGTAGGACAGCATACTAACAAGACAACATGTAGGACAGCATACTAACTTAACAACATACTAACAAGACAAAATGTAGGACGGCATACTAACAAGACAACATACTAACAATACATCATGTAGGACACAATACTAACAAGACAACATACTAACAAGACAACATGTAGGACAGCATACTAACAATGCAACATGTAGGACAGCATACTAACAAGACATCATATAGGACAATATACCAACAAGACAACATGTAGGACACCATACTAACAAGACAACATACTAACAAGAAAACATGTAGGACAGCATACTAACAAGACAACATACTAACAAGACATCATGTAGGACAGAATACTAACAAGACATCCTGTAGGACAGAATACTAACAAGACATCATGTAAGACAACATACTAACAAGACATCATGTAGGACAACATACTAACAATACATAATGTAGGACAGAATACTAACAAGACATCATTTAGGACAACATACTAACAATACATCATGTAGGACAACATACTAACAAGACATCATGTAGGACAACATACTAACAAGACAACATGTAGGACACCATACTAACAAGACAACATACTAACAAGACAACATACATGACTGCATACTTACAATACATAATGTAGGACAGCATACTAAGAAAACATCATGTAGGAAAGCATACTAACAAGACAACATGTAGGACAGCATACTAACTTGACAACATACTAACAAGACAAAATGTAGGACAGCATACTAACAAGACAACATACTAACAAGACAACATGTAGGACAGCATACTAACAAGACAACATGTAGGACAGCATACTAACAAGACATCATGTAGGACAACTTACTACCAAGACATCATGTAGGACAGAATACTAACAAGACATCATGTAGGACAACATACTAACAAGACAACATGTAGGACACCATACTAACAAGACAACATACTAACAAGACAACATACATGACTGCATACTTACAATACATAATGTAGGACAGCATACTAAGAAAACATAATGTAGGAAAGCATACTAGTCTCCTGAGTGGCGCAGTGGTCTAAGGCACTGCATCGCAGTGCTAACTGTGTCACTAGAGATCCTGGTTCGAATCCAGGCTCTGTCGCAGCCGGCCGCGACCGGGAGACTCATGGGCGGCGCACAATTGGCCCAGCGTCGTCCAGGGTAGGGGAGGGAATGGCCAGCAGGGATGTAGCTCAGTTGATAGAGCATGGCGTTTGCAACGCCAGGGTTGTGGGTTCGATTCCCACAGGGGGCCAGTATAAAAAAAAAATATATATATATATATGTAAGTCGCTCTGGATAAGAGCGTCTGCTAAATGACTAAAATGTAAAATGTAAATGTAATAGCATACTAACTTGACAACATACTAACAAGACAACATGTAGGACACAATACTAACAAGACAACATACTAACAAGACAACATTTAGGACAGCATACTAACAAGACAACATGTAGGACAGCATACTAACAAGACATCATGTAGGACAACATACCAACAAGACATCATGTAGGACACTATACTAACAAGACAACATACTAACAAGACAACATGTAGGACAACATACTAACAAGACAACATACTAACAATACATCATGTAGGACAGAATACTAACAAGACATCATGTAGGACAGAATACTAACAAGACATCATGTAAGACAACATACTAACAATACATCATGTAGGACAACATACTAACAATACAACATGTAGGACAGAATACTAACAAGACATAATTTAGGACAACATGCTAACAAGACATCATGTAGGACAGAATACTAACAAGACATCAAGTAGGACAACATACTAACAAGACAACATGTAGGACACCATACTAACAAGACAAGATACTAACAAGACAACATGCATGACAGCATACTAACAAGACAAAATGTAGGACAGCATACTAACAAGACAATATACTAACAAGATAACATGTAGGACAGCATACTAACAAGACAACATGTAGGACAAAATACTAACAAGACATAAATTAGGACACAATACTAACAAGACAACATACTAACAAGACAACATGTAGGACAGCATACTAACAAGACATCATGTAGGACAGCATACTAACAAGACAATATACTAACAAGACTCTCCACCCCCCTAAACGGAACTATTGTTACTCGTTGGTCGTCGCATACCAGTCTTTTCACAGATGTTACAATACCATTTATGTTATGTAGTCTGTCCACGAGAGATTACACCAATGGTCAAACTGACCAACCACCCTGGCCTGTGTCTCTGTTTTCTAGATTTCCAGCACAAGATCACGGTGCAGGCATCACCCTCCATGGACAGGAGGAGTCTGAACAACACCAGCCCCCCCAGCAGCCCCACACTCATACCCCGCCTCCGGGCTATCCAGTGTAAGTGCACCTCAGACAATCCAACATACTGCAACAAGACAGACCTGGGTCAGATACATAACAATATCAAAAGTATATGTGTTTAAGTGTGCTGTGAAACAAAGCTTTTTACGTGTGCTTTATCATGGCATCCAGTGCCTTCAGAAAGTATTCATACCCCTTGACTTATTCCACATTTTGTTTTGTTACAGCCTGAATTCAAAATGGATTAAATATATTATTTTTCTCACCCTTCTACACACGATATACCATTATGACAAAGTGAAAACATGTTTTTAGAAATGTTTGCAAATGTATTGAAAATGAAATACAGAAATATCTCATTTACATAAGTATTCACACCCGAGTCAATACATGTTAGAATCACTTTTGGCAGCGATTACAGCTGTGAATCTTTCTGGGTAAGTCTCTAAGAGTTTTGCACACCTGGATTGTACAATTTTTGCTCATTATTATTTTTTAAATTCTTCAAGCTCTGTCAAGTTGGTTGTTGATCATTGCAAGACAGCCATTTTCATGTCTTGCCATAGATTTTCAAGCCAATTTAAGTCAAAACTCTATCTAGGACACTCAGGAACATACAATGTCATCTTGGTAAGCAACTCCAGTGTAGATTACACCTTGTGTTTTAGGTTATTGTCCTGCTGAAAGGTGAATTTGTCTCTGTTGGAAATAAGGCTGTCCCCGACCAAAAAAAATCTTGGTCGACAGAAAGTTATTTATTTGTCCATATATAGACACACCCTATGTGTTTTAATAAAATCAACTATAAGCATTGAGCTTGTCTGATGCTTTAAGCTTACGGTTTGGTGCCTCAAGAGGGTGCCAGATATACACTGCTCAAAAAAATAAAGGGAACACTAAAATTACACATCCTAGATCTGAATGAATGAAATAATCTTATTAAATACTTTTTTCTTTACATTGTTGAATGTGCTGACAACAAAATCACACAAAAATTATAAATGGAAATCAAATTTATGTCCTTAAAACAAGTCAAAATGAGGCTCAGTAGTGTGTGTGGCCTCCACGTGCCTGTATGACCTCCCTACAACGCCTGGGCATGCTCCTGATGAGGTGGCGGATGGTCTCCTGAGGGATCTCCTCCCAGACCTGGACTAAAGCATCCGCCAACTCCTGGACAGTCTGTGGTGCAACGTGGCGTTGGTGGATGGAGCGAGACATGATGTCCCAGATGTGCTCAATTGGATTCAGGTCTGGGGAACGGGCGGGCCAGTCCATAGCATCAATGCCTTCCTCTTGCAGGAACTGCTGACACACTCCAGCCACATGAGGTCTAGCATTTTCTTGCAGTAGAAGGAACCCAGGGCCAACCGCACCAGCATATGGTCTCACAAGGGGTCTGAGGATCTCATCTCGGTACCTAATGGCAGTCAGGCTACCTCTGGCGAGCACATGGAGGGCTGTGCGGCCCCCCAAAGAAATGCCACCCCACACCATGACTGACCCACCGCCAAACCAGTCATGCTGGAGGATGTTACAGGCAGCAGAACGTTATCCACGGCGTCTCCAGACTCTGTCACGTCTGTCACATGTGCTCAGTGTGAACCTGCTTTCATCTGTGAAGAGCACAGGGCGCCAGTGGCGAATTTGCCAATCTTGGTGTTCTCTGGCAAATGCCAAACGTCCTGCACGGTGTTGGGCTGTAAGCACAACCCCCACCTGTGGACGTCGGGCCCTCATACCACCCTCATGGAGTCTGTTTCTGACCGTTTGAGCAGACACATGCACATTTGTGGCCTGCTGGAGGTCATTTTGCAGGGCTCTGGCAGTGCTCCTCCTGCTCCTCCTTGCACAAAGGCGGAGGTAGCAGTCCTGCTGCTGGGTTGTTGCCCTCCTACGGCCTCCTCCACGTCTACTGATGTACTGGCCTGTCTCCTGGTAGCACCTCCATGCTCTGGACACTACGCTGACAGACACAGCAAACCTTCTTGCCACAGCTCGCATTGATGTGCCATCCTGGATGAGCTGAACTACCTGAGCCACTTGTGTGGGTTGTAGACTCCGTCTCATGCTACCACTAGAGTGGATGCACCGCCAGCATTCAAAAGTGACCAAAACATCAGCCAGGAAGCATAGGAACTGAGAAGTGGTCTGTGGTCACGACCTGCAAAACCAGTCCTTTATTGGGGGTGTCTTGCTAATTGCCTATAATTTCCACCTGTTGTCTATTCCATTTGCACAACAGCATGTGAAATTTATTGTCAATCAGTGTTGCTTCCTAAGTGGACAGTTTGATTTCACAGAAGTGTGATTGACTTGGAGTTACATTGTGTTGTTTAAGTGTTCCCTTTATTTTTTTGAGCAGTGTATATATATATATATATATATATATATATATGTATAAAACCAGAAGAAGAAAAACTTGACCCAACTATTCTCCTCCTGCTCCTGCTGGCTTTCGCAGATTCTGCCATTACTCTCCTGAAGTTGCCGGTAATAGGCTACACGAGGAGTCGGCAACCATTCTCATGTGGAATGCCAATTTATCTTACAATTTCTACCGATATGCATGCCAGTTATGGCTTTCATATGCACATTTTCGTGAAACTATTTCATTTAATATATAATAACGTCTTCAAATCTCAAAGTCATTGTCATGTGGTTAATCAAAATTCTATCCAAATCTCAATGAAAATGATACAAACCTAAAAAGTAACTTCTATTGCCATTGCAAACTATGTAAAAGTAGCCTACATATAGCCAACAAATAAAAACATTGCAGCCTGCAGGTAGAAAATATCCTGATAAAAATAAATATCCTATAAATCACATTGCCTACACATGGCCTGTCTGCAATGAACTTGAAACATTGTATCAACTATTCAATTGGGTCCAGCCCCGAAGCTTGCGCTAGCAACATTGTATAAAATATTCTGGTCCCTCAGAGTTTCCCTGGGCCAGTGGGCTCGGGACAGTCACAGCTGCAGGATATTTGTGCAAGGGATAAGAAGCAGTGCTTGACTTGGGCAGGAGCTCGCCGGAGCTGAGTACCAGCACCTCAAATGTTCTACTGCTTGAGCTCCTGTTTCTCTTATAAAATATTAGTTCAAAAAGTATTGTGGAGCTCCTGCACCTAAATACAGTGCATTTGGAAGGTATTCAGACCTCTTGACCTTTTCCACATTTTGTTACGTTACAGCCTTTTTCTAAAATGGATTTAATAATAAAAAAATCCTCATCAATTTACACACAATACCCCATAATGACAAAATGAAAACAGGTTTTTAGACATTTTTGCAAATGTATAAACAAAAAATAAATAAAAAATACCTTATTTACATAAGTATTCAGACCCTTTGCTATGAGACTCAAAATTGAGCTCAGGTCAATCAATCAATCAAATGGATTTATAAAGCTCTTTTTACATCAGCAGATGTCACAAAGTGCTCTCCAGAAACCCAGCCTAAAACCCCAAACATCAAGCAATGCAGATGTAGAAGCACGGTGGTTAGGAAAAACTCCCTAGAAAGGCAGAAACCTACAAGAAGCCTAGAGAGGAACCAGGCTCTGAGTGGTGGCCAGGCCCCTTCTGGCTGTGCCGAGTGGAGATTATAACAGTACATGGCCATTAAGGCCAGATTTTTCTCCAAGATGTTCAAACCTTCATAGATGGTCAAATAATAATCACAGTGGTTGTAGTTGTTGCAACAGGTCAGTACATCAGGAGTAAATGTCACTTGGCTTTTCATAGCCGGGCATTTAGAGGTTGAAATAGCAGGTGTGGTAGAGAGAGAGATAGTTGAAAAGAGCAGGTCTGGGACAAGGTAGCACGTCCGGTGAACAGGTCAGGGTTCCATAGCCACAGGCAGAAGAGTGGAAACTGGAGCAGCAGCACGACCAGGTGGACTGGGGACAGCAAGGAGTCATCAGGCCAGGTAGTCCTGAGGCATGGTCCTAGGGCTATCTCCCGAGTGGCGCAGTGGTCTAAGGCACTGCATCGCAGTGCTAGCTGTGCCACTAGAGATCCTGGTTCGAATCCAGGCTCTGCTGTAGCCGGCCGCAACCGGGAGACCAATGGGGCGGCGCACAATTGGCCCAGCGTCATCCAGGGTAGGGGAGGGAATGGCCGGCAGGGAGGTAGCTCAGTTGGTAGAGCATGGCGTTTGCAACGCCAGGGTTGTGGGTTCGATTCCCACGGGGGGCCAGTATGAAAAAAAAAAAAAAAGAATAATGTATGCACTAACTGTGGGTCGCTCTGGATAAGAGCGTCTGCTAAATGACGTAAATGTAAATGTAGGGCTCAGGTCCTCCGGGAGGGGAGGGAGAGCGAGAGAGAATTAGAGGGATCATACTTAATTTCACACAGGACACCGGATAAGACAGGAGAATAACACCAGATATAACAGACTGACCCTAGCCCCCAGGCACATAGACTATTGCAGCATAGATACTGGAGGCTGAGACAGGGGGAGTCGGGAGACACTGTGGCCCTGTCCAACGATACCCCCGGACAGGGCCAACCAGGCAGGATATAACCCCACCCACTTTGCCAAAGCACAGCCCACACACCACCAGAGGGATATCAACAGACAACCGACCTACTACCCTGAGACAAGGCTGAGTATAGCCCACAAAGATCTCCTCCACTGCACGAGCCCGAGGGGGCGACAAACCAGACAGGAAGATCACGTCAGTGACTAAACCCACTCAAGTGCATCCTGTTTCCATTGATCATCCTTGAGATGTTTCTACAACTTGATTGGAGTCCACCTGTGTTAAATTCAATTGATTGGACATGATTTGGAAAAGCCGTAGAGCTCAGAGACAGGATTGTGTCGAGGCACAGATCTGGGGAAGGCTACCAAACAATTTCTGCAGCATTGAAGGTCCTCAAGAACACAGTGGCCTCCATCATTCTTAAATGCAAGAAGTTTGGAACCACCAAGACTCTTCCTAGAGCTGGCCCCCCGGCTAAACTGAGCAATCGGGGGAGAAGGGCCTTGGTCAGGGAGGTGACCAAGAACCCGATGGTCACTCTGACAGAGCTCCAGAGTTCCTCTGTGGAGATGGGAGAAGCTTCCAGAAGGACAACCATCTCTGCAGCACTCCACCAATCAGGCCTTTATGTTAGTGGCCAGACGGAGGCCACTCCTCAGTAAAAGGCACATGACAGCCCGCTTGGAGTTTGCCAAAAGCACCTAAAGGACTCAGACCATGAGAAACAAGATTATCTGGTCTGATGAAACCAATATTGAACTCTTTGGCCTGAACGCCAAGCGTCATGTCTGGAGGAAACCTGGCACCATCCCTACGGTGACGCACGGAGGTGGCAGCATCATGCTGTGGGGATTGCACACTCTTGGCATCCTCTCAACCAGCTTCATGCATTTAAATTAACAGGTGTGCCTTCTTAAAAGTTAATTTGTGGAATTTCTTTCCTTAATGCGTTTGAGCCAATCAGCTGTGTTGTGACAAGGTAGGGGGGTATACAGAAGATAGCCCTATTTGGTAAAAGACCAAGTCAATATTATTGCAAGAACATCTCAAATAAGCAAAGAGAAATGACAGTCCATCATTACTTTAAGACATGAAGGTCAGTCAATCCGGAAAATGTCAAGAACTTTGAAAGTTTCTTCAAGTGCAGTCGCAAAAACCATAAAGTGCTATGATGAAACTGGCTCTCATGAGGACTGCCACAGGAAAGGAAGACCCAGAGTTACCTCTGCTGCAGAGGATAAGTTCATTAGAGTTAACTGCACCTCAGATTGCAGCCCAAATATATGCTTCACAGAGTTCAAGTAACAGACACATCTCAACATCAACTGTTCAGAGGAGACAGCGTGAATCAGGCCTTCATGGTTGAATTGCTACAAAGAAACCACTACTAAAGGAAACCAATAATAAGAAGAGACTTGCTTGGGCCAAGAAACACGAGAAATGGACGTTATACTGGTGGAAATCTGTCCTTTGGTCTGATGAGTCCAAATTTGAGATTTTTGGTTCCAACCGCCGTGTCTTTGTAAGACGCAGAGTAGGTGAACGGATGATCTCTCCACGTATGGTTCCCGTGAAGGATGGAGGAGGAGGTGTGATGCTGTGGGGGTGCTTTGCTGCTGACACTCTGTGATTTATTTAGAATTCAAGGCACACTTAACTAGCGTGGCTACCACAGCATTCTGCAGCGATACGCCATCCCATCTGGTTTGCGCTTAGTGGGACTATCATTTGTTTTTCAACAGGACAATGACCCAAAACACACCTCCAGGCTGTGTAAGGGCTATTTGACCAAGAAGGAGAGTGATGGAGTGCTGCATCAGATGACCTGGCCTACACAATCACCCGACCTCAACCCACTTGAGATGGGTTGGGATGAGTTGGACCACAGAGTGAAAGAACTAGCCCTGGAGAAAGCCTGGAGGACCCCAGCACCACCCCCCAGCACACCCCCACCAACAGCCTGAAGAGGGCCTCCGCTCGCCGCTGGACAGACACCGTACTCTACGGCTGTGCCTCTATGGTGGCATTGGGCTTTGATTTGCGTGACGTGCTCAAGGCCCCACCAGCAGACGACCCTGAGCCCCAACCCAGTGTGGAGAAGGAGAAGAAAGAGGGTCTGTTCCAGCATGCCACATGCTTCCGCCGCAGCACCAGCCCCCCTGTCGGACGTTCCTGCCATAAGGAGGAGGCAGACTTGTCCTCGTCGGCAGCCTCCCAAGGCCCCGTCAACCTCATCTCCATGTCTTCCATCTCAGAGTGCAACTCCACCAAGCGCCTCCTGCAGTCTGACTTGGAGGGGCCAGAGCCCAGCCCTGTGAAGGAAGTGGCCCCTGTCAGCCTGTCGGACCCCAGGCCACAGCCCAGCAGCGGCTCCCAGCCCCAGGGTCCAGAGGCGCCTGGCTGCAGGACTCCAGCCTCCCCCTCCCCAGCCTGCTGCCCCAGAGCAGACTGCCGTCAGAGTATGGGCTTTCGCCTCTGGAGGAAGAAGTCGGCCGTCGTTCAGGACAGTGAGTGAACGTGACATCAGGACCGTGGGTGACACATAGAGGCTGTATATATTTGATGCAGTAGTGTTTAATTGTGAGTTGACACCACTGAGCGATGAAACAGCCTCTGTTTCTCCTTTCTGTCCCCAGCTAACGGTACATCTGGCTCTCTCACGACCTCATCGGGACAGTCTTCCACCACTACCTCTCAGAAGAAGAAGTCTGACAGGGTGGACACCCCTAAGAGAGCAGCCAGTGGGGAGACTGTCACCTCCAGGCCCCGGCCTCTGTCCCTCCGGGGCAAACCTCACTCCTGGGGTCTCCTGAGGGGCCGCAACAAAAGCTACTCACTGGGCCTATTCTCTGGAGAGAAGAGCGCCAGGAGCCTCAACATCGTCCTCTCCTCCGCCGAGGTCAAGATTGACTGCTCTCTGCTGGACATGGACACGGAGGGGCAGAAACGTGACTGCACCGTGCCCCTCTGCCGAATGCAGAGCGGCCCCAGTCGCCCCGCCGTCAAAGTGGCCCCAGTCGCCCCGCCGTCTTCCAACTAGAGAATAAGTTATTTTCATAGAATAAATAAGCTGCCTTATTACCAGGGTACAATCTTTAAGTAACGTTTATGAGTTGGATCAACAAATCTTATTTGACATTCCATATTGAAGGATTACCTTTATACTATTCCAGGTATTCCTTAAAGAGGTTGGGTTTCAAGTGTCTCCGGAAGGTGGTCAGTGACTCCGCTGTCCTGGTGTCGTGGGGGAGCTTGTTCCACCATTGGGGTGCCAGAGCAGTGAATAGCTTTGACTGGGCTGAACTGGAACTGTGCTTCCGTAGAGGCAGGGGGGCTAGCAGGCCAGAGGTGGATGAATGTAGTGCCCTCGTTTGGGTGTAGGGTCTGATCAGAGCCTGAAGGTAAGGAGGTGCCGTTCCCCTCACAGCTCCGTAGGCAAGCACCATGGTCTTGTAGTAGATGCGAGCCTCAACTGGAAGCCAGTGGAGTGTGCGGAGGAGCGGGGTTACATGAAAGAACTTGGGAAGGTTGAACACCAGACGGGCTACAGCGTTCTGGATAAGTTGTAGGGGTTTAATGAACATTAAATGTTAAAAAAAAATTTGATATCAAATCTCATCACTGTCAAAGGTGGAGTCCTTGCTATATCCTGACATGTTATTTCTTCCATTAATTGAACAACAACTTAGGTACGTTTTGTTTTGGCCTTATATTCCTTTTTATTAGCATTGTGTTTGCTGTGTGTGGGAGATAAAATGGTTCAAGAGATTGAGACGACGACAACATACATACAGATCAAACCTTTTTTTTTTATCAGTGTTTTTGTTCACACCACAGAATCCCAGCATTGTTTTATCTTCATGTATACCCATGTTAACAGGCTTTCAGTGTAATACATCAGTATTCACCTCAACCTTCTTACTTTTACGTTTACATTTTCGTCATTTAGCAGACTCTCTTATCCAGAGTGACTTACAAATTGGTGCATTCACCTTATGATAGCCAGTGGGACAACCACTTTACAATTTTTTTTTTTTTTTGGGGTGGGGTAAGGGGGGGTAGAAGGATTACTTTATCCTATCCCAGGTATTCCTTAAAGAGGTGGGGTTTCAAGTGTCTCCAGAAGGTGGTCAGTGACTCCGCTGTCCTGGCGTCGTGAGGGAGCTTGTTCCACCATTGGGGTGCCAGAGCAGCGAACAGTTTTGCCTGGGCTGAGCGGGAACTGTGCTTCCGCAGAGGTAGGGGGGCCAGCAGGCCAGAGGTGGATAATAATAATAATAATAATAATAATAATAATAATAAGCCATTTAGCAGACGCTTTTATCCAAAGCGACTTACAGTCATGCGTGCATACATTTTTGTGTATGGGTGGTCCCGGGGATCGAACCCAGTACCTTGGCGTTACAAGCGCCGTGCTCTACCAGCTGAGCAGATGAACGCAATGCCCTCGTTTGGGTGTAGGGACTGATCAGAGCCTGAAGGTACGGAGGTGCCGTTCCCCTCACAGCTCCGTAGGCAAGCAGGAGCAGGGTGACGTGAGAGAACTTGGGAAGGTTGAACACCAGACGGGCTGCGGCATTCTGGATGAGTTGTAGGGGTTTAATGGCACAGGCAGGGGGCCCAGCCAACAGTGAGTTGCAGTAATCCAGATGGGAGATGACAAGTGCCTGGATTAGGACCTGTGCCGCTTCCTGTGTAAGGCAGGGTCGTACTCTGCGAATGTTGTAGAGCATGAACCTACAGGATCGGGTCACCGCCTTGATGTTAGCTGAGAACGACAGGGTGTTGTCCAGGGTCACGCCAAGGCTCTTTGCACTCTGGGAGGAGGACACAACGGAGTTGTCAACCGTGATGGCAATATCATGGAACGGGCAGTCCTTCCCCGGGAGGAAGAGCAGCTCCGTCTTGCCGAGGGTCAGCTTGAGGTGGTGATCCGTCATCCACACTGATTTGTCTGCCAGACATGCAGAGATTCGATTCGCCACCTGGTTATCAGAAGGGGGAAAGGAGAAGATTAATTGTGTGTTGTCTGCGTAGCAATGATAGGAGAGGCCATGTGAGGATATGACAGAGCCAAGTGACTTGGTGTATAGCGAGAATAGGAAAGGGCCTAGAACTGAGCCCTGGGGGACACCAGTGGTGAGAGCACGTGGTGCGAAGACAGATTCTCGCCACGCCACCTGGTAGGAGCGACCTGTCAGGTAGGACGCAATCCAAGAGTGAGCAGCGCTGGAGATGCCCAACTCGGAGAGGGTGGAGAGGAGGATCTGATGGTTCACAGTAATAAAGGCAGCAGATAGGTCTAGAAGGACGAGAGCAGAGGATTGAGCAGAGGGAAGAGATGATAGGATGGAAGAGGAGAGAGTAGCGGGAGAGAGAGAGCGAAGGTTGCGACGGCGCATTACCATCTGAGTAGGGGCAGAGTGAGTAGTGTTGGAGGAGAGCGAGAGAGAAAAGGATACAAAGTAGTGGTCGGAGACTTGGAGGGGAGTTGCAGTGAGATTAGTAGAAGAACAGCATCTAGTAAAGATGAGGTCAAGCGTATTGCCTGCCTTGTGAGTAGAGGGGGATGGTGAGAGGGTGAGGTCAAAAGAGGAGAGGAGTGGAAAGAAGGAGGCAGAGAGAAATGAGTCAAAGGTAGACGTAGGGAGGTTAAAGTCACCCAGAACTGTGAGGGGTGAGCCATCTTCAGGAAAGGAACTTATCAAGCGTTCTTAAACCACTTCAAGAATGGCTGTCTGATTAGGATGATAGGTCTTTGAACCAGTGTGAATCCTCAGAAACCCTCCGTGTTCTTTCTGGAGATGTAAATCAACTCAAGATGACCATACCAAACAAATGTGAATCCATTCCCTCATTACCTTGTGTAGTGTCAATGCCTGGAAATCAAGACCAAAATGCCTATTTTTGTTGTCTTAGGATCTAGGAATGAAAATATATTGAAATAGTATTCTCTGAAATGTTTCATGTTGGGTCTCAAATCAATTAATTAATTATGCTGCAAGTAGTCTCACTGAAGGAAGCAAATATTATTTTGCAGACATGCAGTATGTCAAGTCTTCTCAATAACCTGCGTGGACCAACAGCTGCAATAGTGCTGTGTAGATGTTATCAGGACAAGATCAAAGAAATGCTGGTTATTGTGACCACTTGTCTGACTCCTCTCTGAGTGTAATAACCTGTAATAGGATGACTAGGTGATGACGATATTCAGCCTCTATCGAGGACCATGTAAGCCGATAGTTTAGTCTCGTACAGTATGGCTCATGGTTATGATAGAAGAGTTTGCTACAGCACATATAGTATGAGACTAGGCTTGTAGGGCGATTGATAAAGCACAATCTTTCCTCTCGTGTGAGATATTCAGACTTCCCGTGCACTAAGTGCTTGTGTAGTTGGAGTGGTGTTGCACTCAACAAGCTGCAAGATAGACGGGAAGGAGCTCTGCTGTTGATCTGCAGACAGTCTCTGTGTTGAGGGAAAAAACAACCTACGGTCTCCCATTGAATTAAATAGAATGACGTGGTTGTTTTACCTACCTTAGTTGACTGACGTGGGTGTTTTACCTACCTTAGTTGACTGGCATGTGGTTGTTTTACCTACCTTTGGTGACTGACATGTGGTTGGTTTACCTACCTTAGTTGACTGGCATGTGGTTGTTTTACCTACCTTTGGTGACTGACATGTGGTTGGTTTACCTACCTTTGTTGACTGACATGTGGTTATTTTACCTACCTTCTGTCTTCTGTTCCCAAAACTTTTGCCAAAGCTCAAAGTCCATGAGACAGATTTTTTATACTGTATTTTTAACCAGCCGTTTGGTTTGTGAAAATATTTAAGTCAAATTGACATAAATGTAATTTTTTTTTTTTAAGAAAGTTGATTTATTACATAGTACCCATGTACATACTTGTATTTGTGACCTAGTGTGTGTATTCCAGTTTTTTTTGTCTCAGAATAAATCACCTGTATGGTGTTTTAAGGAACAAAGTTTACCCCATGAAGTTAAATACATTTTAAATATATTTTTCTCCTACTACTTAGACGAGGTTAAATCAGTAAAGAACATGTAAATGTATGATTTTTCAACCAAAACATCCTATTATACATGTATTAAACACATATTTGATGTTCTGAGAACATTCTGTTACAAATCAATTCAAAACAATCTAAGTCTGAGCATAATATAACGTTTAATTTCCCTAAATTGTGCGGGTTAAAACTACTGACGTTGCGTGCGTGACACTAAATATTATTATTTTTATTTTTTTACAATTTATTTCACCTTTATTTAACCAGGTAAGCCAGTTGAGAACAAGTTCTCATTTACAACTGCGACCTGGCCAAGATAAAGCAAAGCAGTGTGATAAAAACAACAACACAGAGTTACATATGGGGTAGAACAAAACATAAAGTCAAAAATACAACAGAAAATATATATACAGTGTGTGCAAATGTAGAAAGTTATGGAGGTAAGGCAATAAATAGGCTATAGTGCAAAACAATTACAATTAGTATTAACACTGGAATGATAGATGTGCAAGAGATGATGTGCAAATAGAGATACTGGGGTGCAAATGAGCAAAATAAACAACAATATAGGGATGAGGTAATTGGGTGGGCTAATTTCAGATGGGCTATGTACAGGTGCAGTGATCGGTAAGGTGCTCTGACAACTGATGCTTAAAGTTAGTGAGGGAGATAAGAGTCTCCAGCTTCAGAGATTTTTGCAATTTGTTCCAGTCATTGGCAGCAGAGAACTGGATGGAATGGCAGCCAAAGGAGGTGTTGGCTTTGGGGAAGACCAGTGAGATATACCTGCTGGAGCGCATACTACGGGTGGGTGTTGCTATGGTGACCAATGAGCTAAGATAAGGCGGGGATTTGCCTAGCAGTGATTTATAGATGGCCTGGAGCCAGTGGGTTTGGCGACGAGTATAGTGAGGACCAGCCAACAAGAGCGTACAGGTCACAGTGGTGGGTAGTATATGGGGCTTTGGAGACAAAACGGATGGCACTGTGATAGACTACATCCAATTTGCTGAGTAGAGTGTTGGAGGCTATTTTGTAAATGACATCGCCAAAGTCAAGGATCGGTAGGATGGTCAGTTTTACGAGGGCATGTTTGGCAGCATGAGTGAAGGAGGCTTTTTTGCGAAATAGGAAACCGATTCTAGATTTAACTTTGGATTGGAGATTCTTAATGTGAGTCTGGAAGGAGAGTTTACAGTCTAACCAGACACCTAGGTATTTGTAGTTGTCCACATACTCTAGGTCAGACCCGTCGAGAGTAGTGATTCTAGTCGGGCGGACGGGTGCCAGCAGCGTTCGATTGAAGAGCATGCATTTAGTTTTACTAGTGTTTAAGAGCAGTTGGAGGCTACTGAAGGAGTGTTGTATGGCATTGAAGCTCGTTTGGAGGTTTGTTAACACAGTGTCCAATGAAGGGCCAGATGTATACAAAATGGTGTCGTCTGCATAGAGGTGGATCTGAGAGTCACCAGCAGCAAGAGCGACATCATTGAGGCCCTCCGATTTGACACATTGAACTCTATAATAATGAAATATACTGTATAATTGTATGAGTCTATCCCATGTCATGCTCCATATAGGTTGGTGAAAACAGAACCAAATCTACACTCTTAGAAAAAAAGGTTCTGGATAGAACCAAAAAGGGTTCTATGCTTGCTTAAAAATGGCACCCCTAAAGGTTCTATAAAGAACCCTCTTGTAGGGTTGTTTGATCAGAACCCCAGTGGTTCTTCACTGAACCACAACTGGTACCATATAGAACTCTAGGGTTCCATATAGGGAACCAATTTCGGTTCTATATAGAACCTTAAGGGGTGCCATATATGAAGCAAGCATACAACCCTTTTTGGTTCTATCCAGAACCTTTTGTTCTAAGACGGTATAGTGATGTTTAAGATACAGTATGAGGTAGAATGTATTCATAAAGGGGTCAAATTCTCGATCTTACACAAAATTATTTATTGTAAGATCTAATATTGCAATTTATGAATTGTAGATTGGAATTGTTGCCTGAGATGACTCTTGTAAAAGATAAAGTTATTGTTCATATTTGTTTGGAATTATTAGTTTCCTGACGTTTTTCTTGACACGTCCCTTGTGTGAATCAACCTAAATAAAGATCTCCTCAACAATATGTTTGCCAAAGCAAAATGAGTAGACTCTATTTGCGTATTTTTTATCATTTAAGACATTTAGCAGACACTCAAATTAAAGGTATTGGTCACATACACATGGTTAGCAGATGTTATTGTGAGTGTAGCGAAATGCTTGTGCTTCTAGTTCTGACAGTGCAGCAATATCTAGCAAGTAATATCTAACAGTTCCACAACAACAGTGCGTTCAACTAAGGTAGGTAAAACAACCACATATCAGTGCATTCAACTAAGGTAGGTAAAACAACCACATATCAGTCAACTAAGGTAGGTAAAACAACCGCATATCAGTCAACTAAGGTAGGTAAAACAACCGCATATCAGTCAACTAAGGTAGGTAAAACAACCACATATCAGTCAACTAAGGTAGGTAAAACAACCGCATATCAGTCAACTAAGGTAGGTAAAACAACCACATGCCAGTCAACTAAGGTAGGTAAAACAACCACATATCAGTCAACTAAGGTAGGTAAAACAACCACATATCAGTCAACTAAGGTAGGTAAAACACCCACGTCAGTCAACTAAGGTAGGTAAAACAACCACGTCATTCTATTTAATTCAATGGGAGACCGTAGGTTGTTTTGTCCCTCAACACAGAGACCGTCTGCAGATCAACAGCAGAGCTCCTTCCCGTCTATCTTGCAGCTTGTTGAGTGCAACCCCACTCCAACTACACAAGCACTTAGTGCATGGGAAGTCTGAATATCTATATACATATATATATATACTAGCCTAGTCTCATACTGTGCTGTCATTGTTTGGTGTCTACTCATGTTTTTTTGTACAACATTTGGCACCAAAGCAATCAGTGAAAGAAATGTGAAGTATCCTAAAGTGCATCCCTGTGCAGTACCTGAGGTAATAGTAGATACATCAGTGTATACTTCCGGACCGGTTAGGTTGTCACAGTATCATGTTGAGTTTCCTGTTTGACAGAGAAGTCCAGGGCTCCATTTTACCCTGCAGGAGGAAATAACACAGAGGAGAGAAACTTTAAAATGTCTTGAAGCTAAAACCGAAAACAAATCTGGGTGGCTTTACACATGTAAATGATCTAAAAATACCAAACAAGGCAGTTTATTCAAAGGGAAGATTTGACAAAGCTAATTTTAGTCGCAGGGCACAACTCACGACTCACCCCATATGAATATCTCTCTGGGGAGAGATTTCTCTCTCCCTATAATTTATAATTAATTTTATAATTATAAATAATTATAATTAGTCATTTAGCAGACGCTCTTATCCAGAGCGACTTACAGGAGCAATTAGGGTTAAGTGCCTTGCTCAAGGGCACATCGACAGATTTTTCACCTAGTCGGCTCGGGGATTAGAACCAGCGACCTTTCGGTTACTGGCACAACGCTCTTAACCACTAAGCTACCTGCCGCCCTACCTACCCCCCTCCCTGATGACGGTTAATACTTCTCCCCTCAATGTATCATATTTTGTCCTGGCCGACAGCCTTTTTTTAACAGCCTTTCTCCCCTGACTCCCTGGGGTCAACACTGACTGTACAACCGGTCTACACACTAAGGCCAGACTCAGGTGCTAGTCTTGGCTGGTTGTCTCATGTCTTGCCTGCTCCTGAGACACAAAGCGCTGGGTTACGTAAGGCATACCTGGGGGAAGACACGACCCTGGCCCTCACAGTGAGGTGACGCGGGCCCTGGGGCTGCGGGTGCTTCTGCGGTCCAGCAGGTGCAATTGGCTCTCTGCCTGCAGGCAGTAGGTGGTCCAGGGTCTCAGGCCTGAGATCAGGAGCTGTTTGACACAGCCCTCCATTTCAAACGTTTCCTTCACAAGGATTAGTCAGAGAATAGGGTTAGTCAGAGGTGCGATATTTATGAAAAATGTATGCACTCACTAGCTGTAAGTCGCTCTGGATAAGAGCGTCTGCTAAATGACTAAAATGTAAAAATGTACAATATTTGAGTTGTTAGAACTCTGAAGACTTCTGAATCACTTGGCAGCACTCGTCAAGTAAAAAGCTTGAAGTATTCTGTGAACTATTTAAATTATTTGATGTATAACTATTCTGTGACCATTTTGGCTCTAGTCTTAAGATCCAATTAAAACTGATGTTAACATGTGTCCTTTGTCCTGATCTTGTCCACATTCTGATGGTGCCCACATTTTTTGACAGGTGTAGACGATTAAAAGACTCATTGTGATCAGATCTTCCTGACCACCTCCGGAGGAAGTCATTTGTGCCTGGATATCTTAAGAGTGTAAACAGATCTGGATGGTCAAACTATTTAAATCATCATTATACCACCCTGTAAAATAATTGACAGATGGCACCATTGACTTATGGCACAAATAATTGTCTTAACATAAATAAATTCATATTACTTTGAAAGAATATCTGTCAAATAATTTGCATACACGGAGGGACTAGGAAATGTGGTCACAATTCGGGCACAGTGGACGGATAAGAGACACATTTTAATACTAAGTGTAGACATGACTAACCTTGATCAGATAGTGATTAGATCATCTTGATCAGATCACAAAAAACATGTTAGCGCAAGGTGTAAACGGGGCTTTAGAGTAAAAGGTGGAAAATACTATTGTTTAGGATAATTAACTAATTATAAATAACAGTAGCTAGTTACCTCCTCGACGTCATTGTGCATGAGGTGTATTGTATATGACATTCTCTGCAGCTTCCTCACACTGATCCAGCTGCCATTAGGTCTCCTGTGGGGAGAGTGTGGAGGCTTGAGCCGGACCACAATGTCTTTCTCCGTCACATGAAGATGTCAAATAACAGCAGTTCTGAAATATCTATTCCTCATTTCAATAAAATGCTTGTGATTACTCATATCCCATGGATAGTAATGAGAAGCACTTAATCTCCCACTTGGGGTTGAATCTGGCGGTTAAGACCCATGAAGACTGGGTTCCTGAGTGGCCTGCGTCTGACCCTGGCGTAGTTCCATTCTCTGGGGTCGGATGTCTCCTGGCTCAGGTCACAGAGAAGCCGGCTGGCACTTCTCTGCATTGGACAAAGTTTAGTAGAGTTGGCATGTTGCTTCCAGTGCAAGACACTTCTGTAGTCCAGGGAGTGGAATTTCACCTCCTGTGGGGCGAAGACGTCTAGAGGAGTCCCTTTGCCTGAAATGGACACCAGTGTCATAAAGCAATACTTTTTCACCTAACTGGAAGAGATACACATTTAAATAATTTATTAAGACAGTACTTCCTCTGAGCAGCGACTGAGGAAACACAGCAGTAGCACAGGGATCAGGATGTTATATGTCGGACCCCAGTAAGACTAGCTGTTGCCATTGGCATCGGCTAATGGGGATACTAATAAGTTAAATTAATTAAATTAATTGACATGAAAATGTAATTCAGCCTTCCCTGCAAGCATAACAATTTGTTTGAAGTTTCAAACCTGTATTTAACAACATTGTAATTATAATAATACATTTAATTTGCTTTTATTGTATATTATGCGAAGAAAATACAAAAAAGCTAAGATGAGGGAAATGATAGGGGAACAGATTAAAAAAAGATATTAAAAACAACAGAATTTGTTTGCACGCAACATTTGCCTTATCATTTATAAAAAATATATATGATTTTAGCTACATGAAAAGTACAATATAAAGATCGTTCACAATAGCAAGGTACCAGAAATTATAGCAACAACAGAAATGATCACCACAGCAATCCCCTTACATTGGTATAACTTTGTTATCTGAATATGATAGGACATACTCCTAATACTATCAGTCGTGTAAACAGTCCAAATATAACAAATATACACAGCACAAGACAACTGACAATAACGGAATAACTCACCAGAGGAGGATTGTGGGAGGAGCTATAGGAGGACAGACAATAAACGGAATAACTCACCAGAGGAGGCTGGTGGGAGGAGCTATAGGAGGACAGACAATAAACGGAATATCTCACCAGAGGAGGCTGGTGGGAGGATCTATAGGAGGACAGACAATAAACTGGATATCTCACCAGAAGAGGCTGGTGGGAGGAGCTATAGGAGGACAGACAATAAACAGACAATAAACTGAATATCTCACCAGAGGAGGCTGGTGGAAGGAGATATAGGAGGACAGACAATAAACAGACAATAGATTAATTAATATCTCACCAGAGGAGGCTGGTGGGAGGAGATATAGGAGGACAGACAATAAACAGACAATAAACTGATGAATATCTCACCAGAGGAGGCTGGTGGGAGGAGCTCTCAAAAACATCATTATATTCCCTTGCTACCTTACAAAAACATTCATGTCACTCAAGTAGGCACAGACAGGGGTCATTTCGCTACACCCACAATAACATCTGCTAAATATGTGTATGTGACCAATAAAATGTAATTTGATTTGATTTTAATTCTAGCTACTTTTGAAGCACATGGTGTGCCCCAGAAACGAATATGTAACACTGTAAATATATTTGTTTATTATAAAAGCTAAAATGTTGATACGAATAGATGTCAATGAAATTACAAAGTCATTTGTGGAATATTAGGTTTCTACATTGTGTAAAAGCTCTATTTTCCTATTGAGATGCATTACATTATACTGTGAGACGCCTAAGACTGCGCTACAGGATGGACAGCTGTTTGTCCTCGCAGTGGCAGAACACGTGTAACAACACCTGCACAGGATCGGTATATCTGAACATCAGATCTGCGGGACAGGTACAGGATGGCAGCAACAACTGCCCGAGTTACACCAGGAATGCACAATCCCTCCATCAGTGCTCAGACTGTCCACAATAGGCTGAGAGCGGCTGGACTGAGGGCTTGTAGGCCTGTTGTAAGGCAGGTCCTCACCAGGCATCACCGGCAACAACGTTGCCTATGGGCACAAACCCACTGTCGCTGGACCAGACAGGACTGTCAAAAAGTGCTCTTCACTGACGAGACGCGGTTTTGTCTCACCAGTGTTCTGCCATGGCCAGCGACGAGCACGTCTTGGACCAGTTGGATCGGATGGTGAGGGCTAGGGTCATTCCCCCCAGAAATGTCCGGGAACTTGCAGGTGCCTTGGTGGAAGAGTGGGGTAACCTCTCACAGCAAGAACTGGCAAGTCTGGTGCAGTCCATGATGAGGAGATGCACTGCAGTACTTAATGCAGCTGGTGGCCACACCAGATACTGACTGTTACTTTTGATTTTGACCCCCCTCCCCCCCCTCCCCCCCCTCCCACCCCCTTTGTTCATGGACACATTATTCAATTTCTGTGGAACTTGTTCAGTTTGTCTGTTGTTGAATATTGTTATGTTCATACAAATATTTACACATGTTAAGTTTGCTGAAAATAAACGCAGTTGACAGTGAGAGGACGTTTTTTTTTTTGCTGAGTTTATTACGTTCGATAAGAGTAGGTTACAAAAATGAAAGTAGGGTGGTGTTATGGGTCGGTGTATAATGCGAACATCCAGCAACCCAAAGGTTGTGCGTTCAAATCTCATCCATGGACAATTTGAGCTAATTAACAACTTTGCAACTACATAGCATAGTAGCTAACCCTAATGCCTAGCTAACGTTAACGGCCTAGCTAACGTTAGCATTAGCCATCTAGCTAACGTTAGTAACAACAAATTGTAATTGGTAACATATCATACGTATTGCAAATTCGTAACATTGTATGAATTGCAATTTGTAACATATCCTAATTGTAATTTGTAACATACTATACGTACTAAATTTGTATTATATTGTACGACCGCTATTACATTGGTAGGCCAATGTAATGTAACATATCATACCAAATAGAATGGTACAAATTTTAGTAACTGTTATGATGAGTTTCTCGGGTATCAAAGAATCAAGGATGCAAGGATATACTTAGACACTTTGTAGACAGTTAATGCAAATGTTTAATGATCGGTACCGGGTTCGTTACAACAATGACCAGAGCTTTGCCCTTGGTGTTACGAACTAACTTGAACAAAGAAGACACTCTACCTTATATACAGTGGGGGAAAAAAGATGAGAGAGGCCTGTAATTTTCATCATAGGTACACGTCAACTATGACAGACAAAATGAGAAAAAATCATCCAAAAAATCACATTGTAGGATTTTTAATGAATTTATTTGCAAATTATGGTGGAAAATAAGTATTTGGTCAATAACAAAACTTTCTCAATACTTTGTTATATACCCTTTGTTGGCAATGACACAGGTCAACAGTTTTCTGTAAGTCTTCACAAAGTTTTCACACACTGTTGCTGGTATTTTGGCCCATTCCTCCATGCAGATCTTCTCTAGAGCAGTGATGTTTTGGGGCTGTCGCTGGGCAACATGGACTTTCAACTCCCTCCAAAGATTTTCTATGGGGTTGAGATCTGGAGACTGGCTAGGCTACTCCAGGACCTTGAAATGCTTCTTACGAATCCACTCCTTCGTTGCCCGGGCGGTGTGTTTGGGATCATTGTCATGCTGAAAGACCCAGCCACGTTTCATCTTCAATGCCCTTGCTGATGGAAGGAGGTTTTCACTCAAAATCTCACGATACATGGCCCCATTCATTCTTTCCTTTACACGGATCAGTCGTCCTGGTCCCTTTGCAGAAAAACAGCCCCAAAGCATGATGTTTCCACCCCCATTCTTCACAGTAGGTATGGTGTTCTTTGGATGCAGCTCAGCATTCTTTGTCCTCCAAACACGACGAGTTGAGTTTTTACCGAAAAGTTATATTTTGGTTTCATCTGACCATATGACATTCTCCCAATCCTCTTCTGGATCACCCAAATGCACTCTAGCAAACTTCAGACGGGCCTGGACATGTACTGGCTTAAGCAGGGGGACACGTCTGGCACTGCAGGATTTGAGTCCCTGGCGGCGTAGTGTGCTACTGATGGTAGGCTTTGTTACTTTGGTCCAAGCTCTATGCAGGTCATTCACTAGGTCCCCCCGTGTGGTTCTGGGATTTTTGCTCACTGTTCTTGTGATCATTTTGACCCCACGGGGTGAGATCTTGCGTGGAGCCCCAGATTGAGGGAGATTATCAGTGGTCTTGTATGTCTTCCATTTCCTAATAATTGCTCCCACAGTTGATTTCTTCAAACCAAGATGCTTACCTATTGCAGATTCAGTCTTCCCAGCCTGGTGCAGGTCTACAATTTTGTTTCTGGTGTCCTTTGACAGCTCTTTGGTCTTGGCCATAGTGGAGTTTGGAGTGTGACTGTTTGAGGTTGTGGACAGGTGTCTTTTATACTGATAACAAGTTAAAACAGGTGCCATTAATACAGGTAACGAGTGGAGGACAGAGGAGCCTCTTAAAGAAGAAGTTACAGGTCTGTGAGAGCCAGAAATCTTGCTTGTTTGTAGGTGACCAAATACTTATTTTCCACCATAATTTGCAAATAAATTCATTAAAAATCCTACAATGTGATTTTCTGGAATTTTTTTTCTCAATTTGTCTGTCATAGTTGACGTGTACCTATGATGAAAATTACAAGCCTCTCTCATCTTTTTAAGTGGGAGAACTTGCACAATTGGTGGCTGACTAAATACTTTTTTTCCCCACTGTACCTTCTGTTACCCTCTTCCTTGCATACATCTGGTAAGTGTATGCCATGGGCACTCCCTGTCTTTGATGTTCATCACTCTTTACCCCAAGTCACTATCCTGCCCATCACTCATGCTATCCTAAAAATCACTAATCTACCTTGACATAAGGAATGTAGACTTCATGATCCCAAACTACTTATCTCATAACTCTACCTCTGTTCCCCACGATACTATGACATGACATCATTACAGTAACATAATACGTTTTGCTCTGAGACTAGGTTATTGAGAGACTCAGATCTTGTCCCCAGGACTAATTTCCTCTGTCACAGGTCTATGGGGCAGTCGTAGTCTGACAGCTCAGCGAAGTCCCTCTCTGGTTCCCACCCTCTCGTTACCTCCAGTGAAGAGCCTGACCCCACGTTGGGTGACATGACCTCCCCACCGCTCCTCTCCTGGTCCTTCAGTCCAATGTGGAGGTGGAGGACCTCTTTCTGAGGGGTAGTGATGACTGAGGGTCTCGTCTGGCACAGATTCCACAGGGATCTGCATCAGGTGGAAGCCACCAGTTTGCACCTCACTCAGCATGTCTCTCTCAGGGTGCATGGGGGACCCACCTGAACCATGTGACAGCATGGAAGCCTACCAGAGAATGACAAGACATTCAGTCTGTGGGTGAAATATGTTTTTAATGTGCTATTGTCTTGACAGTGTTTGCAGGAGGTATGATGTTTCCCGATGTTGGAGACTGACTTGAGCCCATTTTAATCTGTTGTAATTGTATAATTAGTCTAGCAGTAATTGTGTTATGGGTTAGATGTAACGATCTATGTGCATTGTATTTGGGCAGAGGGAAAGTACAAAGGGGGCCTGTCTGAGGGCCAGAATGATTCCATAAGAGTTGAATGGGAGCCATGTGTCTAGAGCTAATAGATCATAATTACTGTTCTATAACACCATCTAATATCAACTGTTTTATAACATTATCTACTCTTAGTATGAATATACAGTTTTATACATTGTTAGAGATTGAACGTGTAATTATCTAGTGGACTGCAGTAGACTGTAGGAATGTGTACTCTCAATAACTCAAGGCCTCTTCTGACTGATAAGTCCTGTGAAAGGAGGAGGAGTATAACGGTACTGGACTCAAGCTGGGCCATGACAACACCAACAGGAGGAACAGACTCAGTTGTTGCCCAGCAACAGAGTTTGATTGTTTATCCTAGAAATACAAGGCGACTCCGCCTAGTCAGAAGATATAAATATATATATTGTGCTTGTGTAGGGGTGCTGCGCAGCTGCAACACCCAGTGGCGAATAAATCTAGTTTTAGTTTTTCTCTGAGTCCGTCTGGGTTATTGTACCAGAAATTAGAACCGAACACCAATAATTACCTGAAGTGGTGTTGTGGCAACAAACATTTCATATTCACTAGCTATTCGCTAC